CAGCAAGTTTACAACATATGTTATTTACAAGAACAATACGTTAACAATGCCGACTCAAATTAAAAGAATGGTAGGCCTGGACAGGCAGACTATTGGTTACGCCTAATGGCGGTGACAAGCTGGTGTTTTGAGCGAAGTTAATCAATATTGAATTTTTGAACAATTATTTGTGGAAAGTCCCCAGGCAAGTACAGAGACAACTAATGATTCTTTGCAAAGATCATTTATTTTCAAGCAAGAGATTAAACCTTGTTATGTTGCAATTGTGAAATAAATTTCCAAAAACAATAACATAATGATCTTTCAATAACCCCGTCAAATTCAAAGCCTTGATGTAATTGAAAACAACTGGCTTTCAATAAAAAATACTAGAAATGGAACTTTCTAAGAACAAAAACAAGCTATTTCAAAATTTTGTTGAGATTTCCTCCTGTATCCGAAGATATTTCGTTGGAAAATTATTTTAATGAAATGAGTTTCAATGCAAATGGCGGCTGCCTAAATTCTTGGAGAGCATCTGACAAAATTTAGAATAAAGCAGATGTTACTTGTCTAAAAAGTTTACTTTTTTGCAATTTTTTGAATTTATCTATGTTTATTTCTACAATAGGGTAAAATTGCAATCGAAAATCTGAACAAGCAATCTCGTTATGTTCCACCGATTTTCTATGTTGTTCTTTGAGCAAAGGATTAACCACATTTGCTTTTAGGCGATCGTCCTAAGACTTTGGTCTTGGTAGTGTACATAACCTCGAAGCATTAACATATAAATAAACTTAAATGTCGTTACGAGTATCAAAGCAACAAATACATGTCGTACGACTGTAAGTTATGTAATTCTTCTAAACGCAGTTATCAGCTCCGAAAAAGTTCTCAAGTCACGACGTTGCAAAAATCTAATTTCATAATTTTTGAATTTGGTTTCAATAACTTAAAAAAGCATTATTATTTGTGCAAAATCAGCTCAATGTAAGTTACAAATTGACTAAGATATGACCACATAAGCACAGGCTTTTCCACGATCAAACATTTGATATTTGGCCTCTGTTCATAACTCTATGGACAGAGCCAAGATAACAGTACACTGTTCGCAAACTTCAAATCTTTCATTGGCAATATCTCATCCGACTTTTGACATATCTAGCTATTTTTGCATTTTCAGAAGAATTTCATGATATTTTTTTGTTTTTATCAAAATTAAAAAATTCTAACAACAATTTTTTGTGTTACATCGCATAACCTTTATACATTACGCCCTTTTAGGCACACAGAGGCTCGAGTTGCCACAGAACAATAACAACGTAAAAATATGCCCAGCCTTCGATGATAAATTGCAAGAAACAAAACAATGTGTTCTGTCGCTGAAAAAGTTCTTTAGAGTTAACAAAGCAGAAAAGATTTTATCAGGTAATCAACCGCGTACTGAAATTGCCACGCAAAACTGTGTTTTTGCGGTCTTCGTAACAATTTATAAGCATGGAAATGTAGAAAAAGCATTCTTGAAAGGATGACAATATTAAGAACCACGAAGCCTCAAGTTATCAAAAAATAAGAGCATCGAGCCTCGGAAAAAATTATCTGCTTCTCAAAAAAAGCATGGAAACTCATGAACACTCACCTTCTCTCCCTTTTCAAACAATCGTTTTATGTGCCCAGACCTTCAGTGTATTCACATTGATTCCCATCGAACAGTTACAATGAAGTTGAATAATTATGACATAAGACTCTTTTAAAAGCAATTTTTTGGGGAAGAGAGATGATAAAGTTCGGTTACTTTTAGTTGAAGAATAGTAAATTTTATTAACGACAGGACATTCCAAGGACTTTGGGCGGGGAGTTTATGAAAAACCCAGGCCTTTGTAGCCAACTTAAAAAAGACGTATAAAATACTAGTTGCATTGCAGCTCAGAAAGAAAGTCAATAATGCGCGTGAAGCTTTCAAAAGGCTTTGATTACAAATCTAACCTGCGAAGTAGCTCAGCTGCTAATTCTGTTGACTGCTATTTCTACCTTCTTTTGCATTTGCTGTACAAAGAGAAAACGTTTTGTAATTGCCATCAGGTCTTATACACGCGTCACAGAGCTTCACAAATCTTCATGAATGCCGCTTTAGTTGAAACAGGCAATTCTAGAGCTCTCATTCTAAATCAAAAGTTGTTTACATTCCAGCAGCTGTTTTAACGCAGCATAGTCAGGTGTAAATAAGTGATGGCTTGTGCGCATGCTTATTGACCGCAATGCAGGCCTAAAATCTTTTCTATGGCGTAAGCTGTAATCAATTTAGCTACTATGTTGGTTTATTTCAGATTAAACTGGTGAAAGAAATGGATTAGAATACCACTGACCTAAGCAAGAAGATAATCATTTATGGAAACCCCTTTTTAATCTTATCAGACGTGAATTTTTCAAGGAAGGTTTTTCGAATCAATGGGGCCAAGAACTTGGATATTCATAGAACCCTGAAGGGAGTCCTCAAACCCCTGTAGTCAATTTCCGAAAAGCTTTTTGCGGATTAAAATTCCTTAAGTTATCATATACCGCGTCGTTAAAGAACGACGATCAGATCAATGTCTACTACTGCTCTTTCTGCTGTATACGTCCAACCAGAGCCTAAAAACCACAGCAGTCACACGGCCATGGACCACGAGAAGACCAATAAACACAAAAGAAAAAGCCACGCTTATATCCCGCCTTGCAATTGTCTTTTCCGAGTAAGATTTTCACAGCTCGAGGCTAGTGTTCGAAGGAGGGAAGGCCTCTTCTCTGCACCCTGCTTCCAACCCAAAGTATAAAATTAAAGTCCCAATACAAAAGAACATTTATCCTGCCAAATGGGACGATTTGTAAAAACTGGCGCTCAATTTTATTTTTGTTGGTTTCTAAGAGTCTCTTCGTGGTATAGCACGTATTAAAGATATTTATGGTAGGCACATTAGAGGGCTATTCAAAGGGGGGCGAAGCCTAACTTTTAAACATCATAAATATTTGTCAATAAGACATCTGAAAGTTGTCCCACCTCTTATGCGTCGGGGTTTAAAACCAAACGTTGCTGCCTAAAAAGCTATATCTTATATTCAGATGAACACTGAGAAGACATTTTTTGGAAGGCTTTGCGAAAGAAATTATCATTTTCGCGTTATTTTTTTAGCCCTAACGCAAACTGGAGGACCTGAGAAGAAGACCACTTAATTAACCCCTTTTTACAAGAACTAGGACATAAAAGGCGTTATTTTGGAGCTGATTTCGATTAGAAGCTAATTCTATTAGATGGTTATTTATTCTGTGTCAATTTATTATTTCAAATCTAAACAGAAACCGGTGCCACAAAAAGTTTTAAGAGCACCAACTTTGGTAAAAACATCATAAAAGAACTACAAATGAACTCTTTGTAGATAAAAAGCTTGCAGTGTGAAATTATTGTAAAGCTTGCAGTGTGAAATACCAAGTTTTTTAAAGAGCATTTATAATAGTTGATAAATGCTCGTGACTTTATTTCATGAGGGATCTTGTTTCTCTTCCTCTCTCATATTCTAGGTATCTAAGGTACGATTGGTGCAATCAGCTTCTTGGTGGGGAAATGTGAATTTTTCTCCTCAATTCCCTGTCTTTTATTTAAGTTGCTTTGTAACTTGAGTCAATTGAGTTTTATTTAAGGTGTAGGGTTTATGTGTTATGTGGAGCGACTTGTACCGATGCACTAACAGCCAATGGTCGCTTCCTATAATGAGGGAATGTAACTTTAACACCTGATTCGACGAAGGCTGTGTTAATGTCTTCTGAGGAATCAATTTTACCTAAAGTGAAGGAACTCTTTTGTTGAAGTTTTTTTCCCTGAGTAAGAAGCAAAGTGTTTTTAAAAGTTACATATTTTTGAAATATTTGAACAACATTTTAGCAATATTTTGGCGATATTTCGTAGAAAATCTGTACGTAATGCCAGAACCATAGCGCTGAATCAAAATCTAGGCAATAGGGTTTGGTTTAAAAACAACACTGAACAAACGAACCAAGCATTGTAGACCAACTTCAAACGGGACAATAAGAAATAAATGAATTATGACTGCTCGTTACGTTTCAGAGTTATTCAAATTCAAATAAGTTAACTTTTAACAAACACAAAAACCACGAAAAAAGTATACTACATTGGTTAATCGCAAATTTGGTCGTATGTGGAACTTAGGTTCAAGACTACTTAAAGTAATGACATTCATAAACATTATACAAAACTGTATAATGAATTGATATAAATACAATTAGCGACTCAAAAGAAAAGGAGTACGAAACAAAAACAAGAGTGTCGAACTTTGAAAAACGTTACTTGAAAACAAGAAAGGAGCCACTGCCTACTGCTAGGAACAGCATGAGAGCCATCTCAAGAGTTCTCTCTAGAATTTCTCTAGGTGAAAATGGTGGAAGTTTACGAGAGGTACTGCGATCCTTTTGTAAAAAGACTCGAATTCAAAGCGATGATCTTTTTACATGTAGTAATAAAGATAGACTCTTAATGCAAGTAGACGAATGATGGGTACCGCATCAAAGCCAGTAAGAATGCTACAATCCGTGACAAACCGCGGCTAGAGGCAGCCAGGTAAATGGGGTGGTACGCAACGTTGTAGTCAAATGTGTTGTCCTTTACTCTTAGGCCTTGGTACTCTTAAATCCACGCGAAGAGGTCTGTCAGGCAAAATCTTAATACATAATTTATAGCATCCATTGATACTTGCTTTAACTGTAAAAGTCTCGAGGTAGAATTGTCATGCGAGGGTTACCTAAGCATCAGAATTAAAATTTGCCGGACACATTTGCTGTAACACATTAATCACTAAGGAAATTTGTTTTCGAAAAAACTCCTCTACTGTTATGGTAAATTATTAAGGAGTGCTTAGGTCAGTTTTGTTCTGAACAATCTATCCAACCTTTCATGACTTTATTCCGGCTTAAAAATCACAACCACTGCATATCAACCATGAAAGACAAGCCACCAAAAAAACTTCCAAATATTCCCTCTTTAGGTACGTATAACGAGTTGTATGTTCATTGTATTCAAATTGATTAAAACATTGCGCTTTAAAGAATACATATTTACAACAAAATTTGATAAAAAATAAAATATAACTGATAAACCAGCTTTACTGTAACCATTGCATTTAAAGGTAAATGTAAAATTTACCTGTTGAAGTATATACATAACTAATGAACGTTAAACCATTAAAACCCAATTACCTCGTTATTAAAACAAAAATTTATTAAATCTAAGAAAAAATTCATAACAAGTTTATCTAAAATGTTGACGTACAGTAAAATCACCTTGGCTCAACAGTCTGGCTAGAGAATCGTGTTACACTTTAATCGCGTAATGTAGCCAGTCTCTAAATGGCTGAGCAACTAAGCCTTGGTGAAACTGTCCCTTTTTGTGCTGTTTAGACTGGCGTCATGAGAAAAATTCCAGCTCTCTATCATATACGCCTCTTAACACACTGTTTGACAAAATCTGATATTTGAAGGCAACGAAAACCTTCACAAATAAATATGGAATGTTATCCCTCTCGCGCGGTGTCAGTTTTGTTGCTATACATAAGAGTGACGAAAACTGGGTAAAGATTTTCCATAACAAAATTAAGTTACAAACTTTTGCTTTCGTCAAATCGGCTCTGGAAAAGGAATCCCAAATACTAATCGTCAAACTCCCTTTTAATTTTTCTTACAAACACGACGTCATTTTGGAAGACCTCGTCTACAAAACATTTAAATTTCGGTGGTAACAACAGAGTTTTCATCTGTTGTTAGGTCAGTTATAATTAAGCGGTCGCAATCACTTGATTGATTACGAAAATTCTGCTCTTTGGTACCAAACCTGTTCCCAACTGATATGACGGCTGTCTGGCGTTTTCCTGCGGTTTTGAAAATCGTCGGATTAACTTCTTTGTGATAATATGAGCCAACATCTACAAAAAGATTGACAGTTCATGAAAAAACAAAGAATAAATACTTCAGCTTGCATCTTTCAAAAAACAGACATTATTAGCAAAACTGGTGCCAATAACGAGAAGGTATAGGATTGATCAAGAGTTAGCCTAATGTCAGGCATCAGTTGAGCATTCGGGGATACCACCAGGGGCTAAAGAAAATTGTTGGGGGGGGGAGAGGGGGGAGGTCTCTAGATTAACCGACAAGAATGGCATTCGTAAAGTGTATATGTTGGCTATAATACAACGTGTCCAAAATAATTCCAATGAAATCTGGAGCCATTTGATAATATAACACAATTTAAGGCAGAAATTGGGTATATACCAAGTACTTTAACGAATTTATTTCAAACCTAGTATATCAAAAAGGTTTTTGAGACATTATATTTCTGTCTTAGACAAGAAAAGCATTTTAAGCGACTAGCTTCGGATTCAAGGTTTCAAAAGAGTCCCTTATGGAAACTACAATAGCTTAAAATTGTCATTTTGATCCTTCCAGCCAGGGTGACAGCCCAAATTTCGGAGATGGGTGCAAAACACGTAGTCAGTTGTCAACACATATCAGCCGTTATCCTAAAGAAGACATTATGATTGAAGTGTCAGGGACCTCATGTCTACCATTAGGGTTGACTTGCCCAAGTCTCAGTTATTAATCAAAACAAACTATAAATAAATTTGTCCCAGTCTGGAGGAAGGGAGAAAAGAAGAGGAGGGAGGAGAGCAAAAAAGACAATTGGGAAGGGAGGAAAAACTTTTCCCCTCGCTCTTCCCTTTTCCTCTCCTTCCCCCTTCCTTTGCTCCCCTCCTTCCCTCCCTCCCACATTTCTTTTTGTTCATCTTTTCAAATTTAATGATTTTTCTTTGATTAATAACTGAAACTTGGTCAAGTCAACCATTAGGGGTCATAGGTAAACATACCTGAGCTTATTGCAAAATCATGGATAGCAAATTGATGAATTGACAAAGACCAACCTGGACCAATATCACACTTCCATATGTCTATAGAGGATTTATACAGGTCCGCGCTGTATTTGCCTTTTCCGCCAATAATAACAACAGACCAGTTACACTCTGGTGATAGCGTTCTCCTTCTTCCCAGTTCTGCGAATCTGTATCGCCATACGGCTTAACTTGAATTACACGACTACTGTCCATGGTTGAATTACCGGTCAATAACGTTTCTACATCATCATCGTTCGGTATATCCGGAAAACTCTTATCATAGCCAGGGTTGTCTAATTCATATGAAAGATCCAAGCTTTTCCCTTTACATTTTCGTTGCTCATGATAGTCCAAAATTGAGTCAACCGATCCTGTTCGTGTAAATTGCTGTCGAACAGGATGAAAGCCTCTAAGCCCGGTTAAGTGTTCGTCCGGAGCAGACTTTGTCGTTGATGGCCTTAATCTGCCGATGTGGGCAGAATATGGATTCAACACAATGGCAGTATGGTTGCATCTATGTGTAGGGGCTATTGAACTGAAAGGTGTTATCTTTTTCCACTGTAAAGAATCTAGAAGAGAAGCAATGCAAATAAATCAGAACAAGAAACTCGCACTTTAATCCAGCATCAAAATCATTCAGTGCGGTAGAGAGAATGGCTGTGTATCTGTTCTTCCAAATTCAAGTCTGGTAATAACCTAACGATTTCAGATTTTTTATCCTCTTCCCAATAGAAATTCATCAATATACCAGAGCCCTGACTCATTTCGAGTGACAGCTAATCGGTGGTTTTATATAACATTTATGGGGAGCAGAAACAATAGCAAAGAGCTACAAAAATGACTATGAATATAATTTCAAATACATTATCTCAGCAGATCGGATGAAAATTCATTTTCTTTTTATTGCAATTATGCACCGATTTTATTCTACTTATATAAACTGAGCTCTCGCCACACTAATTATGGCGTAGGAATCGATGATAGAACCAGAGACGTAGGAACCGAGGGGCACTAGGGGCATGTGCCTCCAAGACTTCGCAGTAAACGAAATAGTGTCCTTCTTCAGAAAGTGCCCTTTTTGTTCTATATTCCCCTGAAACAAGAAGCAGACTGCAGACGGAAAGGAACTCCGTGTCAGCCACTTTCGTTTGATCCCAGTCTTGAAATCTTAGTCTACATCGTTTTTGATTGAACTTCAATTATGTTTAAACTCGTTTTGTTATGTTCTGAAGTGAAAATCATTCATAACACAATTTACACAATTTTGCAGCGCATGTCATACAAAACACATGTCAAGTGCCCCCACCTTAGTGAAAAAGTGCCTTTAAAGTGTTGTGCCCCCCCCCCCAGACTTAAGATGCTTCCTACGGCCCTGGATAAATCACATAACATTTACTGGTCTGTGAGTTTAGCTAACTGGTTGGCAGAAACCATAAAAATGCAATTTTTACCAGCAGGTAGGTAGAATCGCTGCATCTTTAAGATAATTAAAGACACACTAAAAAATTTGATTATACCGAAACGTGTACGCAGATGATTTTTTGGCGATCGTGATGAAATAAACATCTTCAAAATGGGGAGCAGAAACTATATGCAGAGCACATTTTGCTGATTTTCCAAAAACTGTATTCCAGGATTATTAAGTCCCAGCCATCTACGTGTGTTCACGAGGTCAAATCAGTGCTGGTGAGTCTTGGCATGGTTTTGTCTACAACATCTGGGTGAATTAAGCTCGAGCTGCCAGGATTAAGGAAATTCAAGCGTCTAGTTATCCCATAAAAATGGTGAAAACCACAAGAGCATATAAACAGCGTCTTCTAAGCTATGAACAGAATACAATTAGTGTATGTTTGGCTTAGGCAAAGATTACTAGCTTCATTAATCAAGGATGAACTTTCTGCTTCTGCAAGGAATATTTACTGGACTCAAACCAACAGTTAAATTTCTGCTTGTGGAAAAAATCGATTAGATCTATTTAGCAACACGACAAAGCTAATCATGGGTTAAAGTATTTTACCAAAAGAGAATGTCCACGTTTCATTGTGTAAGATTTCGTTGCCTTCACCTCCACAGATTATCATCAAAGAACCAACCTGTAACAAAAATGAAATAAATTGATTGTTTGCTTGGATTGTGAACGGCAGGCACCGCAAACATGTCATATAGACACAGGAAGAAAAAAAGGAATGAACGAATGAAGGAATTAAAGGAAGGGAGCAATGATGGAGAAAGGAATAAAAAGGGATAAAGGAAAGAAGGATTTAAAAAAGGAAGGAATAAAAGGAGAGAACGAAGAAAGTAAGAAAGCAACAAAGAAAGGAAAGGTGGAAGGAAGTAATGAAGGAAGCTGGGAACCTAAGAAGATATCAATAAAAAAGGTATTGAAGAAATAATGAATGAAGGAATGAATAATGTATGAAGGAATTAATAATGTATGAAGGAATGAATAAAGAAACAGAGAGATAAATTGGAAATTGAGAAAGAAATATGTACAGTATACGCAAACTGAAAGAAGAGCGAAGAAAAAATGAGAAAAGAAAACATTTGGAAGGACGACAAGGTGGAATTAGATAACGCACTAGCAACTTATTCAACACGCGATGCTGTTGTAGATATAAGTTACAGGAATTAGGGTGGGTAAGAAAATGGGCTGAATTAGCGAATATTCGACTTATCCCAGGTTCGAAGACGAATAAGATAGGAAAATCCGGTGGGAAAATCAATACAGCTCATTGAAAGTCCGAGCTATCCGGGATACCACTTCACGGGATTCAACTGTATATTATTATTAATAAAAGATTAATAACCTGTCCTATCAGAGTGTTCATCACTCGCGCGAAATTTACATAAAGGGGTCGTGATTACTTGACCCGCTTTATTAAATCAATGAATTTTATAATAAAAACAGAAACATTGAGAATCTATATCCATATATACATAACGACCAAATTTTGAATATTAACTAAATTTCTGCACGGTAGCAGCTGATGTGAATTCAACAAAAATGCCACTGGTGATTAAATATTTTTTATTACGAAAAGCCACAAACGCTGGCTATCAAAAGATTCTTTTGCATTTCTACATAGGCTTTTTCGTAAACAATTCTACTTCAAAAGAGAACGATTATTGAAGGATTGCTGCAAATCAAGATGAGGACATTTAAAATTCTTGAGATCTTACAAACATCAGTTGCAGTCAAAGTTGCCATGATTATTGAAGGATTGAAGGATTGCTGCAAATCAAGATGAGGACATTTAAAATTCTTGAGATCTTACAAACATCAGTTGCAGTCAAAGTTGCCATGACCTTGGGATTGAAAAAATTATAAATGACACACAAAAATAGAAGAAACGATTGTTTGAATAGAATGTGCGATGATTAGGATGAGGACCAAAGTAATTACTAAAACTTAAGGTAAAGATCATTGTAAAGATCTTTTTGGATTATTGAGCTTCCTAGGAGAGCTTGTATGCCACACTGCATCGTACATCCGGAAAATCTAAACAAGAGGAATAAATCTACTTATCAAAGCTAATGGCACATCAGTAAATTAAATTACCAAACGAAGAATTTGATGACAGCGTTATAAAAGCTTTTGTAACGTACAGATAAAGGAGGAGCCTCAATCTAAAAAGCCATTCGTTTTTTATAATCCAAACATTTAAGGAGCTATTACTACTAAAGGCAAAATCCTAGACGGAACTTTTGCGCTTCTAATATTTCATCATTTTAATCAATCGATAGTTCGGTTCCACGGTTCTATTTATTTGCAATCAATGAATGTTTTGACCTTGTTTTCTAGCCACAATTTTTTGCAAATTTCGAATTTTCTCTTGCAGCAGTTCAAAGTCCTAGATTTGGAAAAAAGCTGATATGATCCTTCCTCACAAAAAAAAGTCTAGCAAGTTTCCAAAGCCATATTCGGCAACAAATATGAAACTGAACTTATACGAGGCACCTTATCAAAATTTCAACAATGATTGGCTTTTCACCGAAACTTACCTCGGAAATAGTAGAAAAACCTTGAACTTTGTATTTATATATATGTGTGCGGTTATTGACAGCATAGGAAAAAAAGAGGTATAGGAAATTGATTTAAGCTCGAAAGAAAGCGGGGCAGTAAACCAAACAGAAAGACATTTTTACCTTCGAGCCACTATGCCTTGCCAGTGGTGACGGGCCAGCTCTTTGTCGTACCCTTGTCCAAGTAAAAAGCTCTGAATAAAGAAAACAGAAAATTGGAATTGAAAACATTTGCTATACAGATATTGTGCCTTCTTCGCAACTCTCAAAAAGACTTACATCTTTCAACAATACCCAATATTCAATTGTGTCTATTTGTGCATGTTAGCTCAATCTCTTTTGTGCAATATTACTGATCAAGAGAAACGTCGCAATGTTAAGAAGATTTAAATTTTTCACATTGCACTTTCTGTTTGAGCTATTAATACTATATGTCCTCTTATTCGTTGTTTCTCTAGTATGCCACCGGTTCCCGGTTGCTGTAACGTGGACAGGAGACCAGCCTCGATACAAACCACAGCCTTCAGCACTTCGGTCGAGCGCTCTATCCATTTGGACAGTATTCCTCTCTTGGAATCTAAAACGTTCCTAAAACGTTCCCCACGAGTTTCGATATCTTATACACCAGGGTGGTATATTGTCCTGATTTGATTATGCGATGAGCCTTAGATATCGTCTGCATCCTTAGGAAAGAATATCAAACAAGTTTCCAGCGAAAAATTATAACAGTGCTCCAATAACACTAATGGTTCATACTGCATCGTCCAGTGTTCTATAATTATAGGAGGTGGTCAATGGGTTTTACAGCTATTAAGTTATATGTAATAAAAGTAACAAACCGAATTCCCATGTCCAAAGGTCGTTCTTCCTTCCTTTGCTGTCAAGCCCTCCAAAAACCCAAATGGCATTGTTGTGGACAACTGCAGAATGCGAATGCCGTCCTGTTATTAACTCAGTTCCTTCCCTGGGCGGCATCAGATGCCAACGCAATGTAGCTTGAATGGAATAAAAATACAATTGTTAATACTTGAAGTCCATTTTATTTTTTTATGTATTCATGATCCCTAATCTGAAAATGATCTGAGCTGGTTTTGCTTTATGCTGAGTAATTTTAACAAAAGGGTGTCATAATGGCAAGCAGCTAACAAGAGACTGGGACTTAGGCTTCAGGATAAGCTGCACTGAGGCTTTTAAGTGAAAGTGGAAAGGTGGCTGATTTTCGGTAGTTCGGTACACCAAGGAATTTATAATGCTATAAAACTGTGTTGTTTTGACAACTCTGTAGTTTTGCCATAGCAAGCATAAAGGGATTCAAATAAGGTGCAATAGAGCTCACAAGTTATGATGAAACAAAAAATTAAATTTTTGGGATTTTTATGAATTATGACTTCTTAACCTGAAAGAGAATTATGAAGTACACGTGAATGTGCAACATCAGTTATGCTGTTAGTCATGGGTTAGAAATCGGAAGAGATATGGCCTCATGTGCACAGGTTCTTTTCATATCAAATCATAACATATTGGTATTGATTGTGAATTCTACAAACCAAGCCAAAATAAGATTAATCCAGTAGCAAAACCACTTGACTTGTTGTATGCCATTCAATGGCAATGGCGCTAACTGATTTTGCACTCTTGGGGGGGTATTTCATGGTATTATTTTACGCAATTTGGTCAAATGTAAAAATCATAAGAACGTGTTTTTTATGGCGTCACTAATTGGTACTCAGTCAGAATTTGACTCCATTTAGACATGATAAAACCAGGGTATACCAGCCAAATGAGAAAAAAGAAGGTAGAGAACCAGCAAAAAAATTAAAGGGCACGTGTCGAAAACCTGATTGGTTAATGCAATACAATTATCTGTTTTGCTTAGTACAAAACATATAATCAAGGATGAATTTTTACGGCAATAAAAATTCAAGAAGCAGTAATGAAAATCACGAAACGATGAAGTCCACTCGAAACACTTATGTTGTATTTGTCAACTGCTAATGCGACAAATGCCCTTTAAACTGCCATTGTATTTTAAAATGTGAGTTGACTTTATGACAATATTCGATGCACCAATTGAATACCTCCTAAAGAGGCGAAACTAAAAAGATGACGGCAGGGCCAAAGGAAACAACGACAAACAGCCTTTGGTGAGGAGCACGAAATTTAATGATGCAAATAAGCAACAAGCTATGAACATTATACCAGACAATAGCATGAAAAAAGAACTTACAAAAATCATATCTCCATAGTTCGCTGGTCAGAGAGCCATTGTCTAGTGAACCTCCGAATAAAAACATCGAATCCCTGTACACAAAGGCAGAATGGCCTTTACGATTAGCAGGCTCCTGCGAAACGGAAAAATTCCTTGTCATTTGACTTCTAGAGAGAGCGAGTCCTAGACAGAAACGCTTGAATCTAAGATGATAACCAGCAACTTGCTAGGGCTCGGCTGGCTAAAACAATAACTCAATCTAGGCTGACTGAGCATGCCTATTTCTTTCTTCTTCAAACAAACTTCCCTGTTTAGATAAAATGCATATTCTTTAGCGTGGTCAAAAAGCCAGATTCTATCTAGCTTCAAATTTTTTTACTAAATAGAATTTTTTTACAGCTTCAATCAATCAAAAATTTGAATAAATAATACACTCATATCAGAATCAAAGGATGTGTAATCGAGATGAATGAATTGCAGGCAGGTTGGTTTGAAAACGTTTTTCTGAGCCGCAAAGGAAGTCAAAGCAGATAAAACTTTACTTAGTTACCTGCTGGAATTTGCTCTGGCTTAAATCTTTCCATGTCATGGTCTCTGTCGATTAAAGAAAAGGAATACAAATAAGATTCCTGCGACCTTTGGCCGGTATTTTAAAAAAACTGACAGGTTAATGATGGAAAATTCTAGATTTTAGAGGCGAATTTAAAGACAGACGTTTACATGAATTTGGCAGCTTGCTGCACGATGGCAAAGGATCAAAACATCAGAGAAAAAAAGTCAATGAAAACCCTAAGCATTTTTGAGCTACTGTCCGGACCAAAAACGTGGATATATATTTATTTAATTCACTCATCCGTAACTTTTATTGGATAAAAGTCGGGTATTTATCATTTATTTCCAACAAAATACTTTTCACACCAACCACAAAAGCATGTTCATCAGCCCATCTTTATTTTCATTCAAAACTTAAACCAAATACTGAAAGGTATATTGCATTAACCGCATAATCTAGAAAGGGCATAATCTACGAAACATTATAACTTAACATATTAAATCCAAAATGTTTCATTCATGCATGAAGTGTAAAAGACAACTTCAGTAACGCTTCGCAATAAGCTTCTTGTTTGGGAACATATACAAGGAAAGCATTGCAATAGTAGGCCTATACAGGCAACTAACCAGGCACATGCAATTCTGCTTTCATGCAGTTTGTCAGGCCTTTCAAATGAGGAATCAGATTCAATAATGTTGTATGGTGGTATACGATTATCTCATAAATCAAATAAAACCATCATCGAAACACACTAGTGTTTCATCATCAAAGAGGTTGTATCAACAAATTCTTCGGAATCTTCTCCTCTCCTCCCAGCTCTATGTAGTTTCGTTCTCTCTTTTGCCCCTTGTAGATTATGCTGTAATATGTTAACTTATAATGTTTCGTGTTGAGGGCAAAGGATTGCAATGTATTCCCATGCTCCCTGTGGTATCGTTTTGTAATATATGTTTAGTCCTTGTAATACGCACGCACGATAGGTATAAAAAAGTTAGCCAAAATTGCGGCTCAATGAAGCTAAGGACCTAAGCCGACAAATTTCCAAAAAATTCCTTTTTGAAGAATAATGAAGTTCGTAGAAATTTATAGCAAACCACTCGCAACTTTGTTTTAACGACAAATTCATTACCGAGACTTTATAAGAAATTTAGGACATCAAGATTTCAATACTGACACCAGCTGAGTCACGCTATATTTATGAGTGCAATTAAGAGTGCCTTTTCAATTCTGATTGCTAATACCTAAACAAGCAACAACTCAAAAAATTAAACTGAAACGTTTGATCTTCATTGCGGCGTGTAATAATAAAGCTATGTTATTAAAATAGCAAGCTAAATTGAATAAAATGTCAGGTTCTGAGGTTTTTTACCTGTAACCATTAATAAAGAACAGCCTTATATCTCAGTTGAAAGAATCTCTGCACGTAATCAGATTGACGTTTTAAAGAAACATCTCAGGCTTTTTCAAAATCACCTAGATATATATTTATGAAGACTTCAATAGTTTTTCCAGAATGTTTCTGAAACACTGGTTAAATATTTCCCCAATTTACTCCATCAAAACAGTAAAATCATCCTTCAAATTTACTTTCTATCAAGATACATTATAATGACGCATTTTTTTTCCTGCCGAAGGCTCTCGTCACCAAAACCCCTTAACCAGGAAACTTTTAAGAGGTTTTTTGGCTCTTGGCCTTTGTTATCTACTATTTTGGCATCGTTTCTACACTTTTCCCTACCAAATCATACATATATAACTAAGATATCTAAAAAACATATAAATGATTCAAAATTATAGATCTACACATACCGAAGTCAAAACTCCAAAAAGGGGTGCTTTTATCATTTGTAAATGCTCCTCCAAACACGAACATTTGATTCTGTGATAAAATTCAATGTACATACATTTAAAAGATGACGTGAAACTAAACCTTCATGCTATATAAAGTTTTTTAATTTAACTCATTGCTGAAGTCAGAAGCTACAAAGAAATATTTTTGAAGAGAAGATTTATTTTGGGAGAAGGAAGCTCGAAGAATCGAAATAAAAAACTTGTTTCAAGAAAAAAATGGAAAGCAGGTTAATATTTATGTCTCTACGTTTATTCATTTTCAGATCAGAATTCACAAAAGAAAAGCAAATTCGCAACAAGCTCCATTTGCCAACCAATATTTTTCAAAAAAGGCTAAAAGCATTGTAGTTAAGACAGTACCCTGAAAACCACCGCAGAGTGTCCTTCTAGAGCTGGTGGTCGTGTTCCTCCACCGATTTTAACTTGCTCCCAACTGTTTTCAGCTGGAGATGAAAATAAGAAAGACTTATCAATTTGAAAAGTCTATCAAATTCGCCTCTTTTTTAATGTTGTCTAATGGCATGAAAGAACGGTAAATTTTAGTGCAATGCACTAGCAGTGAGTAACGGAATCAAGCAAAAACCTTCAAAATAAGGTATGAGAATAGTAATAAAATTTGAATACATGAGTAAAAGAGCCAAGAATACTTACTAAATACAAGAATACTAAATATTAAGCCTGCTTGATCAAGAGAAATTACACAGGACTATCATCCTGTTATCTACACTGCACATTTTGAAATCTAGTCTACATGTTTATTAAAATATCTGCAAAGGGCGGGCGTATTTATTTTGGTATTGGAAGTCTGAGGGACAAAGGAGCCTGTTTTTTAGGTTTATTAGCCATTATGTTGTGGAGAAATTGGGAGAATTGAGGATCAAAAGTTCGTTGCTATGGGTCAATCAAATTCTTGAGAGCTAACATCGAAATAAATGACAGCGACAAGGTCCAGAAAGATTTATCAGACGAGTGTGGATAAACATTGTGAAAGGCTTGCAAATAGGATAACAAGACAAATGTTTTGGAATAATTGCAAGGTTTTCGGTACAGAATTGCAAATCATACGTTACCAAGACTGTATCTCCATAGATCCTTCAGAGTAGAAGCTTTGCCACGCCCACCAAGCGAATAGATGTATCCATGATACAAAACGGCAGTATGCTTTGATCTGCTGGGAGGGAATTTTCCACTGGAATTCGGAAACAAAGGACTCCAAAGATATCGTGAGTTTTCTAGCTGAATGGTATCATCTTGGCCTATGAAGATAAAATATAAACAAAGTAGAGAAAGACTGGTTTCTTCACAATAACAATTCTTTCCACAGCAGTCACTTTTTGCGAAAAGGCTATCATGTAAAAATTCCTATTGCACAGGTTCTCTACCACCATCTTTTAAAGTAATGCACAATTAAAATATTTTTATGTAAAAAAGCTCCTCAGGAAATAAAATTGCTTTAGCATCAAAGGGGACCTTTACCATATGACTATCGCCACACGATAATTTGCAATATTAGAAAAATTGAATCCGAGACGGTATGTTTACGAGGCAGTACGAAAAGGGAATACGTATTGTCTAATCAGATGCTCTGTCATGTTATGACATCTTTAGATTAGGGCAGACAAAAATCTTTGTTGCTATGTAATTTAAAAAAAAGCTTCTTTTGATTTTTCTTGTTTTGCATTTCATATGACTACGAGTTATGTTAAGTTCGTCTGCCTTAGAAATTTTACAGCTAATTTTTCTCTGCATAGCTTTGAATTATCACTGCACAAATTGATTATCACTTAGCCTTAAAATAGGTAGTATTGAGACTCTGAAACATTAAGTAATAACTCGCAAAGGGCAAAGGTAATCATTCTATTTATCTCATAATTCTCTTAATATGTTACGGAGAAAGATATGTCGATAGAGTGTTCATTTTAACACGAATATTGAATATTGACAAGTCTTCTGTTTTCTGTTGGTGAATTTAATATCCCCGTTGTTATCAAAATCACCATGTTATCAAATGACACGTTCCTTTAGAAGTTTGTCACTTTGAAAATATCCTACAGCTGTTTTGAATTCTAATGGCAACATCTTGAAGAACCCAAACATGTCAATGTCCTTAAAGAAAACAGGCTCGAGGAGGTTTGCTTCGAGGAAGCCACCACAATGACTGTGTCTCTTTAACCAAAGAACTGAATGGTACAATGGCAAAAAGTGAAGTAGAGTTTGGGTGTGTCACTTTTACGAATTCACAACAGACAACCAAACAGTTTAAACGGTGAATTAAAAACATATGATGAAGCTAAAAAATCACAACAGTGATAAAGCATGGCTCAAAATCCTAAAACCCAATCTTCCGCTATACATCGCAGTAACATGGATTTTGCTCAAGAGGCAGGTGGTTGAAGATCTGTGGGTCGGCTGCTTCTCAAAGTTCGGTTTTGAGCTCGAAGCGCCTGCTTATCGGGAAAGAGACTTGAGCAGAAATATAAATTTAATGAATAAATGAATTCCTAAGAATTAGGTCATTGAAGTTTTGGAGTTATCAAGGCTAATTACCGTGTTCCTTTGCCATCTCTGAAAAGAAGATACGAAGTTGAGGATAACGGAGACATACAATTGGCAGAAATCACCATCCAACATCTTACTAACGATAGCGACAGCTGCTTAAATTTATTTGCAGTTTAGCAATGTTGAAAACAAAACACACCAAAGAGGCTCGAAAAAATATAAGGCATACCTAGTTTCGATTGAGTCTCAGCGGGATAATCCACCCAAGTTTGAGGAAGAAGCCTAAAAATAAAAACAAGCTATTATTAAAATTTGAACCTATGGAGAAAAAACATAACATAAAACATAAAAGATAAAAAATTAAACATATAACATAGCATAACATAGCAAAACAAAGCATATCACAACATGTGCTTCTTGCAATTGAACAAAAACATCTAAAGCAAAGCACATTTTTCAATTACAAGCACCGAAGCCCCTAAATATCTTGCTCCGGCGACGAAGAGAATCTTGGCCTCAAAAAATTCCTTCAATAAGGCTTTACTTTGCAATAATATACCATCTCGATCACGACCAAATTTGACAATATAAACCAAGTCGATGCTGCGCAATGTTATGTTACTGTCGCAGCGACACTATTGTAGGCATGATACCAGGAACGAGGGCGGAAGAGGTAAATGTTCTCATGAGGAGCAATATTCATATGATAGGTTTAGTTTTATAGCATTTTAACTTTAAATGAATAACATTCAAAGTACCACAATTGATGAGACAGACGGCCTCCTTGTAATTTTCAAAAAAACACAGCCCTGAATTATGAGAGCACTACACTAGAATTGTCATGCCAAAAGCCACTGGAGAGAAAACTTTCAATTTTCAGCGTGCGAACAATCATTGCCAAAAGCACTTGGAACATCAATTTGTGTTGTGTTTTTATATTTTTGAAGTCTTTTCCCATTTGCCTCCCGAACAATGTTGATAATTTAGAAAAATATCATAGAAGTTGCAGAAAAAAACGTTCTTCCTATTCCTCTACGTCGTTTTGTAGTAAACCAACATTGTTCAAGGGTGGTGGAAGGGGGGGATGGCTGAATTTGCCCTTGAAAAATTACGTTACTGTACCAAGACTTTTGGCAAGCATTGCAGGTATTTATCAGAAAGCCTGTTGATAAGCAGAATGACCTTTGGATAAGATCTCCTTTAATGATGCTCATATAATTGTGTTTGGATGTAATAAACCGCCTACAGTCTTTACTTAATTATCCTAAAATAAAGCAATCACTTGATAGAAGAAATTTTGCGACTTCGAATGGTTGTCAACTATTGAGGAAAAAATTAAACCAAGATTTGAGTACTCTTGCAAACGACATGAAGTTTTCTGTTCCCTTGCTTTTCCCTTTCAGGATTCCTTGGGTATCTGGCAAGGTATCTAACTGCATGGTAAAATTTTACACTAGTTGTGGCCAGTGGTGGCGCCAAGGGGGTATGGGGGTAATTACCCCCCACTTTTGCCGAAAAATGGTCTACTTATTTCTTCTAGAAATGGATTCAAAAGAGTTAGGTAGGGGTGGATTAAATTTCCTAAGGAAAATTAACCTGGTACGAAGCACTGAAACAAGGCAAAAGGGGTGTGGTCTTACTGGCACTACCCCACTACCCTCTAAATTAGCAGTAGCTGGCGCCGCCACTGGTTATGGCTGTACAGGTATGATAATAAAATGATTTCTCAATTTGGGGAGGTACTCTTAATCGAGAAGGCAATATCGTATAAGCATTTTAATGGCAGTAGGGAAACCAAAAAAGGATGTAGGGACTGGGTGATAAAACCAACAAGCAAACGAATGCAGCGTGCAAGGGATTTGAAAGCTTTGGAATAGCTATAACGTTAAAAATATTTGTCAGCATATAACTAAACAAAATTTGATTCACCAAAAAAACAGTCTAGTTCTGAACCGAAATATCATCATTTTTTAACTTTGTTATTGGTAAAAATTAAATCAGTATCGGTAAAAGATTCCTTTGATATAAAAGGTGTTGTCAAGAATTCAAGAGCCTCTGGGCCTTGTCCTAAACGCCCATTTTTGCCGAATACTTCCTTGGCATTGGAAAAAGGACTATTCGCAAGGCAAGGCATCGTGTCTTAGAAACCGCTATGTCTTCGAAGGTCAATAAAACAGTATCCGTTCCATGGAAACATTACTCATGGTCAAGTGATATTGACACAGAATTAAAAAAACGATCTCTCGAGTATCATATTTTGCTCGGTCAGCAAATCTCCAACTGTTAGAGAAACAGTTAAAAACAAATCTTACGCAGAGATTTTAATACCAAATTGATGAGCAATCGCCGTTCCCAGAAGCTGCCAATATATGTCAATCTGAAATCCCTACAACCATATTACAGTACCTCTAGGCTAAGAATTGGCGTGGTTGTTTTGAATTTAAAAATTACCGTCCTTCCTAGGATGTACACCATAAATCAGAAAATTCGGTGCCTTCGAGGTTTTGCGTTTGGTGAACATATCTAAACATTTCAACTCGACAAGCCGCTCAACAGCCGACAAGTCAATTCTTGGGTTATTACATGCACCGCAAGTCCTTGAAGAAACGTTTAATTTTTAGCTTTTAAACAGTTTATCCTAATGGACCTAATACCTCGCATTCTGCTCTTTTGTTGAATCTTGCTTCTCTTTCCTCGGCTAGTTTATTTCGAGTCACTTGATAACGAGTACTAAATGCTTGAAATGTCTGTTTTAACAATCTATTTCATGTTGGAATTTAAATTGTCATATTGTTAAACAATGTTATGTCAAAATATGGTATATTAGATAGTCAAACAAAGTTGTTTGCTAAAAACTTTTTATAAAGAGATCTCCATTTACTTCAGTCATACTTTCTGATGTCAGATTTGACAACTGGAAATCCTGCACACTCTCTGGCATCCTTGAAATATCACTGAAAGTACTTTTTGTTATTTTGAAAGTCGCGAACAAAAATTGAAGAGGCTTCCCTAGTGCTTGAAAATTTTGTTCAGAATAAACATTGGTTTCGAAAAGTGTCGGTGGGATTAATCTTCAGTTGTTCAGTTTTACTGAAAAATAAACCCCACCGAAATTTGGGTACTTAGTGCACTCTCAAGGTTCTTTCAGATGAGAGCTGTGGATTTACAACTGTGCCAATTTTATTACTACAGCATGTGGTGTGTCAAAGCTCATTAAACTCTGCCGTTGAAGACAAAACGCAGAACATCTGCAACATCAGTACATTTCCTTCAAAAGATGAAATTCGACAAACATGTTTTGTCAGCAATTCCAATTCAGCAAGTTTGAGACCTTGTACCACAGGCTGACCTCTAACAACATTAGGAATGTGTCTAGATCAGCAAAATCCCCTGATAAGAAAGCCTTACTGTCCTTTCTACGAAACTGTGTAAGTGTATTTGAAGGTACCGGAGCTTTTTTTCTATTTTATCAACTTTTTAACGTTTTGTTACAAGACTAGAAAGAAGTAATGCATTAACTAGAAGTTTTTATCGGCTTTCTTAGGAGAAACCAAAAGTTTATAAGTCTGTTTCAATTTTCCAAGACTCAGCAGTTTAACGAGGAGTAATAAAAATTCAACGGCAAAATTACCCAGTTTTTTCTTAGAGCTTTGTTCATAATGTACCATAAACAGAAAAATGCCCTAAAATAATCTTCAGGTGGCCTAGTCAAAACAAGAAATTTCTAAAGTGATCTGCATACATTCTGGGTTTCTTTACATAGAGATTTTTCGAGACGTCTTTGACCTTTACGTACAGTTTCATAATCAAAATTTTTTGACAAGAAAAGGAAACTACAAACAAACAGCTATATAGCGTATTTTTTAATTTTTTCGATTCCTTTTGCCATCTAATTATCAACAGATTTCAAACCGTTTTAAAAAGCAAATGGTAATAGCAATTGTCACATCTGCGGTTTCATTACAATCGGATTCAAATACAATAACAAACTACAGAATCTCAACGACCTCTTAATGTGATTTTCAAAGAGTTATTTAGAAACATTCAGAATTAATGAGTTTGATATCATGCACGCAATCAATGGCTGTCACAGCTTTGAGGAATAACTATCATGGCATGTTGCTTGTTTATGTCTTGTTTGGCTCGTCTAGCGACAGACAACAAGCACAATTCTACACAATGAAGCACCAGCAACATAGCAACTGAAGCAATGGCTTTCATTCCGTTTCGACTACCAACTATGTTTCCTATCTACGAACATAGTTTTAAACACAATACTTAAATGGTTTATGAAAATATTCGGATATTTGATTGTTTGTGAAAATATTCGTCAAACTAGAGCATTCATGAACAAATCTTCGATAAGGAGGAGGCGACGCCCCCTTTGATTAAGCGACGGCCTAAAAATATGTTTGGGTAAGCATAATATAATTAAAATTACTGTTTTACCAAACTGTGATATAGTGCTCGATGCCGTATAGGTGAAGCTAAACACGCGTTGGTATAAAGAATAGGAAGGTTCTTGGTTGCATTTGTGAGTTTAATGTTTTATGCAATCATCAAGCAACTGTTTATAAAAGCATAAATTGTTACCTGTTTGCCGGCAAAATACATCGCAAAATCTTCATTTCGTACTCTCTCATCGTCTAATGCTTAATGATTGAAGCAAACTTTAACAAACTTGACCTTTTAACCAATAATAAGAATATGATCAAGAGCATGCAGCCTGGGTGCCAACATTCGAAACTGTCCGTCTTCCCACGTTGTCTCTGTTTACAATGACGCAACGGTCAGTTTTCATGTATTCAATATTTGGTTTTCGTGCGGCTGGTTACTGCTTCAAGAATCACGTTATCTCTTTCAAACGGCATATTACAAATGACAATACTGCGCATTCCATTTTTATTGTTCGACAGTTTCCCCAAACTACTTTACTGCGGTCAATTCAATGGTTCTTATATATACATTGAAATCTTTAAGAAATGTCTAGCATACTGACAATGCCTTTGTGCCGAATGGGAAACGGTGTCCTCCTTCACAGTGGCTACAGGGGCGGTCTAAGTTGTTTTCAAAGAAATCTTCATTTTGCCTTACAGCGAAAGGCGAGAAACATTTGTGATTGCAAAAATTATTATGAGCTGTGCAATATGTACTTTTCGAAAGGGCATATTGTAGGGAACAGTATGGCTCGAATTATCACCATGCGACAACATTACGTCTGACCTACTTCTGAAAAACATACAATAATTTATTGTACGTAATTGCTAGTTTTGAAACCAACCTTCAAACCAAGCCTTATATGCTAAACTCGCTAAAAATTGGCTTCCTTTGACCACTAAAATTAGAAATCTATCCATCTCTCTCTCTTGGATCATCGCCATGAACAATACGTAATCTCCAAATCTAATAAAACTGCCATACGAGCCACAAAATATCTTACGATGTCGAAACAAATCGGGAACATCTCCCGTTTAGCTTTCAATACTTACTTATCTTTTTTCATTTTTTTGTTTGTTTAATAACATTGGATATGGTACATATCATACCAAGCATGCCAAATGTGTGCTGGCTAGATTTAGTGAGGTATGGATTTTGATGAAAAGAAATTATTCAAAAGAATATATCATAAGAGGTGTATATTATCATTTTTATTATTTTTATAAATAATATTGTCTTCTGTCTACCAGTTACAAGATTTTGGTTTAAAGAGCGTATTATCTTTATCGCAATCCTTTCATCTCAACTCATACAACTTATACATTTAGAAGTCAAAAACATTGCCTATGTAACTGAGTTATGGCTAGCCATTTAAAGTAGATTTTCGACAGTAAAGTTTTATCAAGCATTCTGCTTTTACTACATTACATAATCTCCTGCAAAAAATTGATGAATTTGAATAACAGTAAGTGTGACCAAAAAAGGTATCATTATACAATGCTTTATCTGTTCATTGTGGCTATCGATACACTTTTTTTTATAAGAACAAACTTTATGAGAACATTGAGGTTCGATTTGCCCAAAAAATAAAAACAACTCTAGAACATGCTCAGCTTCAGAAAAGAAATTTAAAAAAAACAATTCGCATTTTGAAATTCGCAAGCACTCAACTACTGTACCGACATTCTTTTGACAAAAAAACTTTGATGAGTTTGTCCATAAACACTAGCAGTCATTGCTTTATTTTTAAACCTTACCCAGTAAAACATCTTAGAAACTATAAACAGTATGCAACTTCTGAAATATTTGCAAAAAATCACTCTTAAAATAAGAACAGTTTTAAGAACATTGGAGCCTAAAATCGTCAAAAAGTCAAGAACATCGAGGCTCGGCAAAAATTATCTGGTTCATATAAAAAAGAGTGTATTTCAGGAGGCCAGTGTTATGTCAAAACATTGAAAAAAGGAGAAGGGCTTTCTGATTCTCCCAAAAATACAAAAAAGAATAAACGACTTGAACTAAATCTCGATTATAAAAGCAGAGTCAATAAGAGGATTAGTCCTTTCAATAACTTTCCCCGATTAACACAACCCTGATTTACTGAAAATGGTTGGGCAACATAAAACTCTCTTACTGCCTTCCAAACAGGACATAAAAAAGCTGGAATTCAAATTTGCTTAGATCATCAATCTGAATACTTTCTTATAAACCTCTTAAGCGGTGTAATGTTGATTTCATGTATAGTATCTTTGAATTTGAATGTCAGCAAAGCATTACAGACCCGTTATCCCCAGTCTTAGCCCCATTTTAAATCCTAACCTTGGTAATGTTAACTGTATAAAAGTCTTTGTACTTGGCACCCTGAGTACCAGAGACTCGTTTAAATAAATATTTCTGTGACTAGCTTTGAAACATAACTCTGAAATTAGACTAAGAAGACTTTGGGGATTATGGCATCCCAGCAAAATAGAGCTAATGAATATGGGCATAATCACCAGGCACGTAAATAATAGGGAGGCGTGGGGGGCGTGACGCCCCCCAAAGGTTGGAAAATCCAATTGTAGTTGGAAAACTTAAAAGTTCACTTGGAATTTTTTCAAACTATTATGACCAAATGTGTGAAATTTATAGCTTAGGATTCTGGGATTTTAAAAGTAAAAATCTTAGACCTTATTAAAATTCAAACTCTGGAGCAGGCACATCTTATAATCGTTTTTAATTGTGAATCCCTGTCTCTGCTGGATCTCAAATCGCACCATTGCATCGTTTGTTTCCTTTTTGACAGGGGTTAAGTTGAATTAGATTATTTTAAACAGGCAAGGTGAATTTCTGGATAAGAAGTTTAAATTTTACCGTCAGTATTGATTGAGCCTGAAGTTTTGAAAAATCGTTCGAATAATCGAATTTTTTAAGAAACAACGGGTAGCCAATTCAATTGAAAACATTACAAATCTTTCACTGCTAGAAATTCTCAACGCTTCTTAACGGGTGTATGCTAAGTTCCCCCTGCACTTTGTAGACCTCCTTAAATCTTATCATAAATTGCTATGATAAAGGTGATGAAAAGCCACAAAACATTGATCAAAGAAGCGGTAGCAGAAGTATTAGATCAAAGACGAGTGTTTTATCTTATGAATCAGGCATATGCAATTGCCCTCAAATCACCCTTTTCAGTTCCAAAAAGCAAAGGACATTTAGCCCTTTAAAAATTGTGAAAATTTGCATGCGATCAAGAACAAAAGATGAAATGGTAAATTCTTGGATGCTTCTTTATTGTGAAAAAGACATTTTATATAAAACTGATCAGTAGCAAATAGCTTTAAGATGGGTAAAGCAGAAAAAGAACAGAATTGCTGTTTATTGACTTGAAAGAATATTAATTTTTATCATTAAACATATCCAAGATCTAGACTGGTATGGCTCTGATGTTGCTTTACATCTTACGAAAAGATTTTACGTTAATCAAAATTTAGATATTTCCTCTACCTTCTTTAGTGCTTTTATGCTTAAGACTAATTATTATAAATAAAATGTTGGTAATTATACAGAACCTAGAAATCTGGAATAAGCCATAAGGCTATTTCCAAAAATCAATTTAGTAGGTACAGAAGATTAACAGATCGAAAGAAAAAGTTCATCAGGTAAAGTTGGAATTTTCAACCTTCCACGACCCCCCAAAATTAGCCACGTGTTTACGTCCCTGGTAATCACGACTGCAAACAACATGTAATGACAGTGAGAACAACTTGTAAGTCGAGCCTGTTCTCCCTTAAGATCTGTATTCGTACAAAATTAGCAAAATAAGCCAGTAGGTCTTAGGCCGTTTTCGCCAACAATCAGTCTCTTTTTTCAACTGAGACAAAATGAACTCTTTGAAGTGACATATTCGAAGGTAAAGAAATCATAGGTCTGGAAAATGTTAGGGTAGCCTGCCATTAAATATAATCTATTCACGCGTTTTGCAAACGTGACTGAGCTTGTAACGTCTGTGTTGCAGATTATACAGTCAGAGAAGCTGAAATAATTTTGATCTGTAAAAAAAAGAAAAATCACTGACCTATTGTTTCTTTTATCCCTTGCATTGAATTCTTGGTATTTCTGAAACGAAAAAAAACCCTGAAAAATACACCCTGCTTGAATTCCTTATCATCCCCTCCTGACCTCATCCCCCCTTGCCACGTCCCCTTCTTACACCACAATCTCCTTGCCTGTTATCCTCATATACGCCTCATCTCTCCATATATATACGCCTCATCATTATGGGATCCTTTCCTCATCCATTCCCCCTTGCCCCATCCCATTGAAAAGAAAATTACTCCTGCAGTTTATTAGCCTTAGCTGTGTTATTTCCTGGATAAAAAAGAACTGATAAAGGAAACAGTACTGCAGGTGATTGAGAGTGAAACTGAATTCATTGGGTGTATATCGGTAAAAACACTTGTCTCAAAATTACCTTATTGATATTTTTCTACTTAAAGTCATCTTTAAGCGTTAAAATCCACAAATACTCAAGCCGACAATTAATTACTCTTGCTATAAGCAAATTTTTGGTACAAAGTGCTTTCCCGTTTCTTATCGTGGGGCAAGTGTGGAACAGCTTGACTCTGTCATGAAACAGATCCCCCCTTTTCCTTCTTTGTACCACGTCTTTTCTGCTGAGATGGATCATTTTTTACATAAAACACTATTTTAGCTTTGGATCTTCGGCTGAACAGGCTATTTTTATTGCATAAAAACGTACGTAAGTGATGTATTAATGTAAAGATCTGTTTTACAGGTCCATCATTAACAGTTGTACACGCTTTGGTATATGATCAAGACGATTGTAAGATGCTTCTTAGAACGGCCTTGTGCAAGAAACATAGATGTACGGGTAACAACAGCTAAAAATGAGGTAGAAATTAATACGACTTACTCTGAAATCGATGTCTCTATCATTAAGGGGTCGCTGAAAGAGTGGAGAAAGAAAGAATGTTGAATTGCATAAAGGAATAACTGAGTAGAGACTATCATATTTAAAAGGTCAGTGGGTAGTGTCGTATGATAGTGCGTACTTCTGTAGGCGACCAGGTGAGATTATGCTTTGTCTTTGATTTTCAGCATTAAGTAAATTTGCCGGAATTTAAAACACAAAACGCAGTTTAAATTAGAGCAAACTCTTCTTCTATCTAAAATTCTTTTACGGAATAGAACAAAAAGAATCAAACTCTGAAGTTGAGAGTAAAGGTTTTTTTATCTTCGAGTTTATCCCGCAAATCTTTTTGATCAACAAGAAACCGTACATAATGAAACAGTGTAAACGATTCTTTCGTTATCGTTTGATCAGATAAAAATTTCTATGTCTATGCTTTTTAAGAGATTTTCTTTGTTGATCATCATGGTCAGAAAAGAAGTGCATCGGTTTCTTAATTCAACTTTATAAAAGAACATACGTCGTTTCTCAGAAAACAATTTCGAACCAAATCTAGTTTTTATTTATGATTAAATTGAGCAGCATTGATGAACGCCAACATCAGTTTGGATAGATTATTTGAATTTGTATTAGAAAGATAACTCAAGTCCACTACCAATTTCAAGCAAATAAAGGGACTGTACAAAGGCATAGATGCAAGCATTTCAGAACTGGGAGGGGCACATGTATGAAACAGGAGGGCACGAGCTGAAAATAGGTACTCTAACTCTGGTTCTAAAAACTGGGGGCACATGCCTCTTGTGCCTAACCATTCACGATTCCTACCTCTATGTACAAAGGTAAACTAGAAATAGGGTAAACTAAAGCAGGCTGGAAGTTAAAAAATACTATACGGAATGGGTCATACGAGAAAAAGAAAGACTATTTTCGTCTTAATAGTATCAAAATTGATTGGTGCTATAAAAAGAAAAATGAAAGCATTACCCAAGTTTTCTTTAAAAACTTTTGAAATGGATAGTTAAATACTGCTCTGACTAGCTCTTTGTGTCCACCCAGCCAAGACTGAAAGTTCTCCAGTGATAGCCTACCGGTCTAGAATACAAAGTCTTGATTATGCTATGATAACGAAAAAAATATCGACGCGCCAATATGCCCTATCAGAGATTTTTTAAATGAGCATAAAAGAAAGTGAGCATCAATACTGATTTCGGGATATTCCATTTAAGCTCACAGTTATATGATATGGCTTCATACCAGTAAATGGTGTTTTTTTAAAACTATTTGCTGTAAAATTCTGGTACAACAAACACAATTATAAAAACAAGAAGCATTATGTAATGGATAATATCAACAATACAAAATTTTAAATACCTCTTTGCAAAATTGTCATTTAAGCTCAAAATAGTCATACATTTTAAATACATATTCAGAAGTATATGAAATGAAATCTTTGAAAAACTCCCAACCATTTATATACTTTATTGACTAAAAATCTGGCTTGAAGATGACTGGTTATTCCAAGTAATTTTGACAGGGAATTCTAGGTACAAAGAAGGATTGTGAAGGATTGTCAAGTCATGATCCATGTAACCTTACCACGCCTCAACTAAACCAACTGGAAAATATCTCAGGAAGGACAAAACATTCACTAACCTGATTTACATCACATTCTTCAAAAGCCTCGTTTACAAGAATTCTAGCAGTATCACTTAAGTCACCGCTTTCTGAAATACAAAAAATACACAAATAACTTAGGGCTCTGAGGTTGCAATAGAATACAGGAAAGGGCCCACAAAATAAAATTGAAAAAAGAGTTTGTGTTATCTACCATATAATAGAAATATATCGGAGAAAAGAACAACGTGTAGGCTCACCAATATCATAAAATAACCGAGAGTTGGGCAGAACACGAGGTCTAAATTATACAGTTAATTATGATAATTTATTACGATGATAACAGTTGTTGTATATAAACTAGACTGTAGCTGGCAAATGAGGGGAAAATGCAGGGAAACCAAACAGCATACGCCATTAGAGTATGGGTTTATGATTAAGCATTCAAACAGAGAGATAAAATTCACTTGAATGTAAATATTAGGCACTGAATAGCTTTTTATTTAGAGTTGAAGATGTATTCTGGGTCATAAAATTTATCTCCATCCTTTCCTTGACTTCATTTTAGAAAAGAAAAACCATTCATTTCGCATTACAGATTTTTATCTTTATAATCAAGCACAGGTTCGTCTTAACATTGAAACTGAAATTGAAACTTAATACAACAAAGAGGTACATAAAATAAATCTTGAATGAAATAATTAAGTCTACTATAGAAACCTGAATCTTGTTCACTGCTGCGTTTGAGGCTGTAAATAGGAAACAGATTGATACAAAGATTACATTGTATGTTATATTTTGAAAGTAAACTGATTCAATAACAAGGATAACTGCGTGGTATGCAATTCAGACTACTATCCTTGATATGATGGTCTCCTTCTTATCTCAAAAAATCAAAGTCGGAATTTATGGAATGGAAGCATGAGGTGCATATTTAATGGTCAAAGGGAAAGGATAAACTTCTTTAAGGGAGAAAAAGTTCAATGAAATCTGTAAATATTTGCTAAAATCTTTTCAAAATGAATCATGAAATTTTCCGCTCTAAACCACGATGGCCATCAAAGAAGTAGGTTTTAGAATGTCAGTTTTGAATTGTAATGCAGTATTATTGAAAACGCCAATGAGAAACGCGAGCACATGAATGTTGAGGTTGCCCAATCAGTGCCGTTTGTCTATTATCAAGCGGCACTGATTGGGCAACCTCAAAAGTCACGTGCTCGCGTTTCTCATTGGCCTATTTCGATCCATAACTGGGTAAATGTATTTCCTAGTGCAGTATTATGAGTTAGAGCCTGGCTTCAAACAATATGCTCGTCTTAAAATAAACCTCTGTTACAGTTATTTAAAATATACTATCTGTAAAGAGACTATAAATAGCGTTAATTTCTTCAGGCTAAGACAAAAGATTAGGCATCAGGCGTTTAGGAATTCATTCACTTAAGCCAACGCATGACTTTCTAAGGCGTGGAAAGTTCTCTACCTGTCAGCTGCTTTGAGAGTTGGCTCTAACATTCTATACAGCTCATCTTCAGAGACTCCGTCGTCCTCTGTAATTAATAAAACCTTGTTTAGAATTTTAATAGCTAGGCGAGCCTTCTCATTTCAATGTATCTTTGAACAGAGCTAGAAAACGTAACGAAGCTTGGTTTGCAGAGCATTTATAAAAACTGAATATTATATTTGTGGCCTTAAAATCCTATTTGTTTGACTATGTAGGCCTCACAAAAGTTGTCAATTTATTAAGAACCACTGTTTTGCCTCTAATTAATGACAACATTACATGAAAAAGGATTATTCAAATATGCATCTCAAAAATGTTAATATCAAAAATTTCTCAAAAAACAGCTCTGCCTAACATGGAAACAATCAAAATCTGAATTGGTACTAAAAAAATCAAAATACGAAAAGAAAACTATTGAAAGAGCAGGAAAATGTCCAATATTGGCCTTGTGGAATAGTTTCAATTTTTGGCTCAATTAATATATTATCTTAGAATAACCAGTTAATAGATTTTCTGTTTCTGAATTAGTCATAATAGTTCAAGCTTTAACATAAATCAGCAATTCAACCAATGTCAAACAAAAATTCACTTACCATCCAAATCGAACTATAAAAAAACAGACAAAATTTAGCAATCATTTATGTTGTTTATTACTTTATTTGATATGCACCGAAAGTTTTTCATAAGTAAATTTATAAGAGAATTTATGAGGGAAATAGCTGTCTGTTACTGGCCAAAGACAAGAAAATCACAAGAATTGCTTTTCATAAAAATAATGTAGAGCATTACGTTAACAAAGAAAGAAATTTTACATTTTTGTCGGGTGTTATAAATATGTAAAAAATAGTGCAAAATCATGACAATGCTCTCTCAAGGTAAGCATCACCTAACTTGAACCTATCATTGAGTTGGCATACCTAGAATGAATCTATTAAATAAAAAACCATGCTAAAAAATCCCTGATGATTCAATTCAACAAAAAACAGTAAGCAGATTTAATTCTGCATAAAATAACCAACGCTTGCGAACTTTTGTTCTATAAAGGTGTGTTATACAGAATAAATGCTGGATTAATGTTGGGATGTGGTTGATTCTAAGACCAACACGTAACTTTATATATATACTTTTACTAGAAAGGAAAAAGCTTTCTTATAAAAACGACGCTAAGTATTTTAGATAAAAGGCTAAGTATTTAAAATGATATCATAAGATGATTTGTGGGGATGCCCTCGCTAAATTGCGAAATTAGCTTTCTAATTTTCTAGGGGGCAGAGAGACAGTCATAAGCTAATGAAATTGTCACTGAAGGGTATCACTTACCATATGGAACAACAAATTGCACTTATCGCTCATTGTTCCACGGAGGCACAGCGATATCCCACCTGCAGACAGAAAAAAATTGCACAAAACATTCTATCATCGAGTCAAAACAGCACATTATGAGCGACATAACATTTCAAGTCTAGAATCGAGCGATCTCTTTCTTCTGAGCTCATAATTCGATAAATAAGATTTTAATACACAATAAAGCATTAACCATAGCTTATTGACAAAATCTATCTTTAAACTTATCGATAAACCTTTCGTCTCTTCCTTCCTTGTACATCTGTAAATATGCATCGACATAAACAATAGAAATGTCTCCTGCACACAAATCTCATGGTGATGATAGTTGCCTACGTCAACCCAATTGTTATTTCAATTTCTAATTGTTATTTTTAAAAGTGGAACGTGTTAGCCTAGCCTGGGTGCCAGAGCCCGGAAAATCCCGTTCTCCCATTAATTATGACAAACAGGTTTTTATCTTTAATACACTCTTTTTTTAAGAACAATTTTATTAGAACACGAGCCTCAAAACTGGTCAAAAGTTAAAACAAATTAAGAACAAGCTGAGGCTGAGCTTCTGCAAAATGCAATTTTGAACAACGCTTTTTCTCAAAATCGAGGATTTTTAGCGATGTGTGGGTGCTTTTTCGGTGAATATTCAAATTTGTCAGCAAATTAAGGCTGTCTCACTCACTTTGTTGGCAAATGAGGCCTGAACACCTCCTTAGAGCGAAAAAGCTAGCAATAGCACTGCTTACAGCCTCTTAATTTAAGAACAAATTAAGAACATTCCAGCCTCAGATTTTCGAAAAAATTAAGAACAGTCAGCCTGAACATAAATTTACTGGTTCTCATAAAAAAAGGGTGTAGTTAGGTTTTTTATTTTGCTGGAACATTTGGAAAGCAGTTTGATTATCTAACTGAATTGCACCCAAGAATAAATATGTTAAATTCCAAATTTTGGACTTTGGTGCCTAGGGTATTGTATGCCAAGAACTAGTTAAGTATCTTCAGATAACTCTCGGGCACAATCGTTAATCTTCCTCCTAACTCTCTAACTAACATGAAAAACGGCGTGAGTTTACAGCTAAAGATAGAGTTAATAGGATACCTAAAAAGATAGAGTGCAATAAAGACAAGCTAGGATTTCAATACAGAGATTTTTAGGTAAGTATGTATAAGCTGATTCACTGCATAATTATTTATGTAATTGTAACTGGGAATCGTGATGTAAACGAGACTAACTAAAGCGAGGTTGCAAAATAACGCCAAATAACTTTGACGTATTCAAATAACGTATTTAATAACGCCAAATAACTTTGAAATATTGACATAAACATAGCATATACAAAACGAATAATATCAGTTCAAGGTATACGGAGACTACTAAACTGGGCGTGTTAGAGAAGAATTTATATCAGAGTTTAACTAAGAACGATAAAGTGGCTTGTGATGAAAGAGTGGATGAAAGATAGACTTGGGTTCAAACTTTTTTCATAAATTAAATGAGTTTCTACTCCTCGTATTGTTAGGTCTCGTGAATATTTGGTTTTATTCATTTCATTTTCAGGTTGCGAGGCAAAGCATTTTATCTGGTGTCTTTTCCGAACAAAATGAGAAATACTTTGATGCTGGGAAACAGATTGTAAGATAAAAGACATTGCAATCGATGAGAAAGAGAATGAGGTCACGTAAGACGGAGGTCCTTAGCATTTCTAACTTTTGACTGGAATTAGAAAAATCTGGTCCTGCTCTCCCTCCGGAAGGTCTAGCAAAGCTTAACAGAATCAAGGTGTTTAAAATGAGCAAACATGCTTAAATTGATCTTATCAACATTAACAGAGGGTGAGAATTCGCAAAAGGAGCATTTCTGTACCAGTTTGAGATTTATTTTGAATGCCAATACAAAAAGAGGATTTATGCACAATGTAAAAATAGAAAGTTCATGATGTATGCTATAGTATCTTTGGCTTGTGCATATAACGCTGAGATCACTAACTAGAAAAGATTAAGATTGAAAGTCCGAAATTTGTGACTTTCTTTCTTTCTTTGTGAATTACATACTTTCTTTTTAATGAATTAAGTATTGTATTTCTTTCCAGGTTACGAGAACAGCTTACTCTCTGACAACTGGTGCTTAATATTTAAACAAGTAAGCAAAGAAAAGGTTATGGGCTGTTTCGAAAGAATTTCAGTATGAACATTGAATAGTTCTTCTTTTACCCTTTTCAGAGGGTGAATATAAGATATGTTAGAGGACAGCGCTCATGAAACAAATAGCTGAGGTTCTCATTATGAATCTTGGACAGAGAAAGAACTTTATGGACAGCGAAAGAGCTTTATGGTTCTTCTTTAGATAACAAGTAGACCTTGAACATTTTATGGCCTCGATTCTGGTATAAGTATTCTCTGCCTGATTTTTGGGATTAGTTCATGCTATTTCAATGCAAATCTTTTGACTTCTCTGAAGAATTCAGCTTCATTTACACTTTATTTCCACTGACAATGCTTCAAGGATACGGCAAAGAAAAGAGTGCAAAAAAGCTGAGCATGGAACATTTTACAAAATTTCCACACCTGGAAAGAGTAATACAGAGCGTGATATAGAGAATGGGCAGTGAATGATACAGACAATGATACAGAGAGTGATACAGAGAGTGATACAGAGAGTCATACAAAAAATTATACAGAGAGTGATACAGAGAGTGATACAGAGAGTGTTACAGAGAGTGATACAGAGAGTGATACAGAGAGTCATACAAAAAATTATACAGAGAGTGATACAGATAATGATACAGAGAGTGTTATAGAGAGTGATACAGAGAGTGATACAGAGAGTGATACAGAGAGTGATACAGAGAGTGTTACAGAGAGTGATACAGAGAGTGCCCATATTTGGTATTTCCGTTTTTGCGTGTTCTTGCTTTTCTTCGTTTACTTCCGGTAGCTATAAAGGATTTGCACCCCACGTTTTGGGTGGTTATTTACTCGCCTTGCATTGCGCTGTGTTGGGGGCAGTTTTTCTATCGTTTACATGCATTTTTGGCCTGGTAGTTTCTACATGCTGTGTTTGGCCGTCGTGCAAAATTTTTATGGCTACGAGGACTAATAGATTGTAAGTTGTATGTATTATTATGTAGTTATCTTTCACTTTATTTATAAGTAGCTCATACTTAACATTTTGTAGTCTAGTTGGGTTTCTACGTAGTTCTATCTTCTGCTAACATTAATTAACCTTTTATAATTATTATTTTTCATTATATTGAAATATTAAGCTTCTTGTCGTATTCTCAACTTATAATCTTCATGTATGTTAATTGCTAACATTTTTCTTTAGCGAACCACGTTTAACACATCACCTCAGAACCTGTGTCGTTTCTTGCTGTGTTATCTGCTGGGGATTTAGGTGTGGTGCGTTCGATATACCAAAGTAGTCAGAATTACAAATTGTGGACTACAGAGAGTGATAAAGAGAGTGATACAGAGAGTGATACAGAGAGTGTTACAGAGAGTGATACAGAGAGTGTTACAGAGAGTGATAAAGAGAGTGATACAGAGAGTGATACAGAGAGTGTTACAGAGAGTGATACAGAGAGTGTTACAGAGAGTGATAAAGAGAGTGATACAGAGAGTGATACAGAGAGTGTTACAGAGAGTGATACAGAGAGTGTTACAGAGAGTGATACAGAGAGTGATACAGAGAGTGTTACAGAGAGTGATAAAGAGAGTGATACAGAGAGTGATAAAGAGAGTGATAAAGAGAGTGATACAGAGAGTGATACAGAGAGTGTTACAGAGAGTGATACAGAGAGTGTTACAGAGAGTGATAAAGAGAGTGATACAGAGAGTGATACAGAGAGTGTTACAGAGAGTGATACAGAGAGTGTTACAGAGAGTGATAAAGAGAGTGATACAGAGAGTCACACAGATAATGATAGAGGGATTCATACAGAGAGGGTTAAAAAGAAAGAAAAAGTAAGAAAAACCATGTTTTATTTAATGATAAAATAAGAGGTAGCGAAGGAAATCTAACAAATCATGTGTGTTTACAAAATTATTGTGAAGTCCCTTTACTGTTCGTGTCCTTTATATGGTCGTCGCCAAGGAAACCTACATCACGGGGGCAACGCAGGCAAAATTGATTAAAAATTCTGATGTAAAGAGCCTTGTTTTTCGATTAAAATACAATTCAAAGAAGATTACATTCAAAAACAAAAACTTAATATTAAGCATGATACCAAAGCCAATTGAATGTTTAAAAAACTTTGAAATTTGTGGCGTGAAAAATAAGCGTTGTGATTCTCTTTGAAAGAAAAGCAACGGCAAGAAACAAAGAACATAAAGAAAAGGATTTTCAGTGTCATACGAAAGGGCAGTTGAGGATATATAGTGGAAACAAAAAGAATGGGAATTAGTTTTGGAAACCAAACTTCGGAATATAAATTTGAACATCTGGACAAAAAAATAAATCATTGTTCGGAGAATTCGTAGGATATTATGAGAAATGATAAAAGTATTTAAGTTGCCAGATAAAAGTATTTGTTATGCAAAAACATTAAATGTTTGCACTCTGTACTAATTTTAAAAGGGAATCGGCGGGAATCTGGTGTAAAGATGATGATTATATCTGATATCCTATGCTCCCCACATGCTTTATACTTGTTGTAGCACATACTTGGGTTATACTTGGGTTACAAACTGTGGAAACAACATGAGCGCTGGGTCAGCCAATACACTACACTTGTTGAGAAACTTTTTAAAACCTTAACAAGAGCTGGCAAGGGGGAAGATACTGGGATGAATGAAGGTAATGGCCCTAACACGAAAAAATTAAAGTTTATGCTGCATAACTACAGACCACACTAAGATCTGCCGAAAAATCTGGAAAATGAGAAAATGGCGAAGTGTGAAAGTGCACTGACCGACATATTGATTGCATATAAATGAATTATGTTGGCCTTAACATTTGATGCAGAGGTTTGTACAAAAAGAGTTAAAAGTTACTCTCTATTAAAAAGAAGGAACGAAGAGTAAGGAATGGGTAAAGGCCATTTTAGAATGAACTCCTATTCCTAAGCAAGGAGAACTTTAGTTATGATGTTTTGATTTCTTAAACAACTGGGAAGTAATTTACTTAAGCGTGGAGTAGAAGCTAGAAATTTTCAACAACACCCAACAAAATCCAATAGATCAAGGATCCTAAAGAGATGCTAAACACAGTCTTTGGCTATTGCTATGACTTTCATTGAGAGAATCTGTAAGCCATCACTATAGAGACGATCTACAAGAACAGCTTTCTACAAAGACGTTTTATTAGATTCTTGCGACGATACTCTGTGTTAGCATTCTGCTAGTAAAGAAATGGGTGGCAGCACTAAATCAACTTAGGTATGATTCAGATTTGCTCGAGTGTTAATTTTAGCCCCTAACCATCTCAAGAGTTTGACGAAACCCATAACTTATGTCAAAACTGAAAATACAAGAGCTCCAAAGGATCAGAAAAAGCAAAAATTGCAATGATGCTTCTTGTTTTCGATGGGATGAGTTTAGAATCCTATTGACTGCAGGAAATAATGTCTTTTAACCAGTATGTTTTCACAATAAGCACTATCATATAAGCAGTATGTGTTTTCTCTCCTATAGTTCCTTTTCTAAATAAACCCTCCACATATTGTAAATGAGATTGTCACTACATCACATATACATGTGTTTCTATTAAAATCAGTTCCGAAATGACTCTCAAACCTTGTTTACGTCAGATTGCAAGCTACATCATAAATTATAAATGGCATTATGTGGGAATCTGATTACTATTCAGCATGATGCGAGTATTTACATAACGTGAATCAACCTATTTAGAAATATAACCTTAAACGCTGGCAAACTGGCTTGCATATAATAGTACTTATATAGTATAATAGTACTATAATAGTATATGGTACTTTTCAAAGGCTAATGAAAAAACATTTTGCATGTGTCCAAGCAACAATAGACAAATCTGGGTCTGAAACAAGCTAAAATTTGAATCTCACTAAGGATCTCATACGCGGGGTTGCCACGATAGAGGGGCTTGGGGGAGTCACACAGTCACATTGGAATAAGGATCTGTCTTGCCTTTCGTTGTCAAGTCTCGCCTTTCGTCGGCAAATCTAGCACCAACAGAAAACACTAGCGGACATCTAGCAGACAATTTCTTATCCTACAGCTCCTCTTCCTTGGTAAAATCTATTTACAACGGCCCTTCCACTTGTCAATAAAACTGTGGTTGCGAATGATAAGATTGGAGTGCATTTTGACCCATTATCTGAGGAGCCCGTGGCTGATAAGACAGCACGATATGATAAGGTGAACAAATTCAGAATATAGTACCCACAAACAGGATGACCGGGAAAGGGGGTTGGTTGTTATTTAAGATACTATTATTGTTGTTATTAAAGATACTACAAATAAACGTCTCACTAATAAAAGATTTGACCACGAGTCTGGAAACTATTTGACTAAAAGGGCAAATTTCACATGTTTTAACAAAAAGATGGAATGACACGTGTCCGGCCCTCCTTTTCTGGTACTTTAATCCAGATCGCTTACAAAAATGGTGGCTGTATAATTTCATTCGCATCATTATGCGAGGAAAAATCCCTCATCTAAGTAAAATATGGTATTTCAATAACACCAAAACCGATTTGAATGGCACTTAATCAACAAGCCTTCTGGCCACCTGCAAAAACAATACTAGCTTTTGATTAATAAACAATAGACTTCTCACATTCTTGAATTGCGTACAAGCAACTACCAGATCACTCATCTAGTAGCAACAATAAAAAACAGAACTACTCACTCAGAAATTCTCCTGAGTTGATTTTGTCGTCTTTATCTTTATCGAAAATTCCAAAAAGCCTCTGTCCCAACATGCCATCAAGTGGAAAATAGTGCAAGCTAGAGTAAGATGGTAAAATTTAGTTCAACCATAATATTTCCGAATGAAAGAACATGGAAAGGCAATCAAGACGCAATTTGTGATCATTTAGTTTTGAAAAAAACGGTAGATTTTAGTTTCAAAATAAATGCTTGCCATTCGCATGAGGTAAACTGTTCAAAATATGCCAGTAAAAAATGAAGTGATAACATCAGACCCTAGGCAGGGGCAGCGCAAAACAATGAGCTGCAATCAAATACAATGAGATGCAATTGAAAAAGAATAAGTTGATGGATGATAAAGAAAATAACCAAACATTGATCCACAAACTAATTTCACAGATATTCATTGGAGAAATATTTTAGCAAACATAAGACCAGGGTTCCCAAGAGCAACACCTGGTCCAGGGGCTGGTCCATTGTCTGGGTCCATTTCTACCCTAAGCAATAAACCTAATGTGTTTAATAAGGAATTAAAAAAGTACTTACTTGTTTTTGGCTTTAATAAAGCACATATCAATAATTAGGATTCAAAAAAAGCACAACAAACTTTTTTTGTTTGTTTTCAAATTACATTCCTTACACATTTTAAAATATTCCCAGTACAGATACAATTTTTATAAATCACCATGTCATAAAGAAAGAGTCTTGTTTTAAAACAGAGACCGATGAATTGCCCTCTTTGTTTATGGGTCTGAAGGTCAATTTTCCCCTCTTGCCATCCCCTCTAGGTGGATCTGTACAAGACCCTATCTTTTTATAATGTTGGTTAACATGGTGGTGATGATTGGTGAATTGGTTGGTGATTATGATGACACATTATTGTAGTTGATGATGATGATGATGATAATGATGATGATGATGATGATGATGATGATTATGATGATGATTATAATGATGATGATGATGATTATGACAATGATGATGATGATGATGTTAATGATGATGATGATGACACAGATGATCACGATTGACAATTCTAATGATTATGATGATTATGATGAGCACAATTATGATAAGGAAGATTTCTTTAACATTGAACATGATTTTAAAATATTTACAAGGTCTGCTTGCTAATACACTGGTCCTCTGGAGAAAGCAGTGCAAGCCTTTTGAAGACATCCTTCAGTTCCAAGATCTCTTGAATATTTACTGTTAAGAAAGAATGTGGCTTCATTTAACACACTATACATCTAGTAAAACCAATTAGCTTTAGCCAGGTGGCTTAACAATACAAGAATTACTGAAACTTAATCAAAGTTGAAACAACTTTCTCTATTCTTGCAAATAACATGGCTAATGGGGCAATAAAATCAAGAATAACCTTGAAAGTTTCGGTATTTTAAGGTAGGTTAAAAGAAAAGCCCTGCCCATCTGGCAGCTTTTCTTTGAACTTTTTCCAGCTGCTCAATTTTGTTTTGATGATTGGGATCCCAAACTGATGATGCATAATCAAGCATAAGTCTTGCTAATGATTTGCCTGCTGTAGCTTTGACTTAGAGTTTGCAGAGAGGTTTCTAGGTAGGAAACCCAAGGAGCAACTTTATTGATTAGCATTGGCTGTTGTATGCTGAGGCCATGACATAATTTTGTTCCTGTTTGACTCCTAACATAGGATGGCTCTAAACTGCTGACACATGGACATTGTCAATTGTTTATTGGAATTGAATAGGTTTATCATGCTCCATCATCTTACCTGTCACTGCTGTGAGCATCATTGGGCATTTCAAGCAGCTATTTAATAATACTGCTTATTCTTATATCAAAACACAAAACTTATTTTTCTTGATTGTTGGCTGAATTCTTGTACAATTAAATTAAATATATGATGAGTTTCTTTGTGTAATAACTTGTCAATTTTACAGTCAGAAAGGCTTATTATTTTTAGGTTTCTCAAAAATATAATCATGCTTTTATCCCTTCTTCAAAGGAAATTGCAAGAATCTTGGCATATCTAAGGCAGTGGAAACATGTGGGGCTAATAGCTTAATCACCAGCAAATCTAATCCATAAAGGGTCAAGGTCAAATTACTCTACAAAAAGCCCATGTTCAGATGTCATGATAAAAACACTGAAAGGGAACTTGAATAGCTTACACTTAATGATTGAGTCAGGAAGGCTCCAGTCTGAGCCAGCTGCATCTTCAATTCTATTATGTCTTGTGTTAGACTGTCCCATATCTGTCAGTTCTACCTCTTGACACAATTCAGCAGATCCTCTGCAGTGCCTTCTTTGTACCACCGATTTTGAATTGATATTCTTGTCCTCCCTATGAGCCAATAAAGGCTCTACATCCATTTTTAACCGGCAACGTTTGACTATTCGTTCATCTTAGTTAAGACAATGATTGATAGAAAACATTGCTATCTAAGTAATCTGAAAAAAAGAATTAAAATAGATTAAAGACAAGGAAACTGCATATCAACATTAAAGTTGTAGAAGTATTGTACTAGAAAAAGTCACTTTGCATTTCTTTGTCAATACAAAGAAAAAATTTGCATTGTTAAGAAATACATAACTCTGCTGACTGGCTAATACCCATGTACAGCCTCTGCCAAGATATATCCAGTGGCTGTTTTAGGGACTACAGGGCCCAGGGCCAAAAACATCTGCAGGTCCTTGTTCTTTACAATTTCTATCTTTTTTCTTAGGAGTGGGGCCCCTTTTGGCTATCATTAGCACAGGGTCTGGGGCCATGGCCCCCTTGACCCCCTTAAAACCATGGTTATCATGTTGACTTTTGTGCACATCATGATGTGAGCATGCAAGTTAAGATCATTTACATGTGATTTCCAGATATTTTTTGTTATGTTTTGCCAAAGGTGCTTATTTATGTGGACACGCTTCATAATGTAAAAAGCCACAGTTAATCAGACTTGCATTCCAAGCTCAGGTACATCAAACCCATACTTTGGACATTACATCATATATCCCTTTATACTCAAACATTCATTGGATTTGTAAATCATTCATACAACATGAAGATGACAATAACCTATGTTAAAGAAATCTCTGTTGTTTCGCACCTTGCCTTTTGCAACTGAAGTTCAATTTTGGCAATAATATCTCAAACTTGCATGAAGACTTTCACACAGATAATGATACCACGTTGTCTTCTTAAGTCCCTCTACGTATTTGTTACCATGATAGCAAATCTAGGAATCTCAGATCGAGCTGCGACTTTCTGCATTATCATCAAAGGACAAACACAACCACAGCATTGACGTCCAAGCACATGAAAACCCCATCAAGCATATCATTCCAGGGAAATTTTGAATGGTGACACAGTAATCTATAGAAATATTTGCAAGCAGAACGATAAGGTTTCTATGAAACACAATTATTCCGCACCGGGGTAGGAATTATCTGTTTACCTAATGCCTAACCAATGGTTAGGCCATTATCGTAATTTACATACCAGCAACCAGTCAGCAAAGAACTTACCTGCAGATTTTTTGCCTTGGATTTTCTACGTAAGGTAAACATTCATAAACACTGCAAACCGGAAATTTTCTTGCGAAAATAAACCAAATGGTTTTACCCTTGCCAAATGCATTATTGCAGGGACCTAAAGAAACTAAATGTTCCCCCGCAGCAGCTACAGAACGGAGAGAAGCGCAGTCACAATTCAAAACGGAAACTCTAATCTTTTTGCAACATGTGCAGAGGCATCGAGAGGGGGTGGGGGTGGGTTAGGAGGTGTGAAAGGTTCGGGGCCCGTGCTCTGATGGGGCCCGTATTAATGTAATAAGCTCTATTTATAATGCGGAAAAAGCTACTATTTCAGCTACTTATATGGAACCAACGCCTGTAAGTTTATCGCAGGGAAAACATGTCCTTGATTTATGTAAAATGTTTTTGCTCATTTCTGCAAAGATCCTTAAAAATATTTTTCACCAATTGTAACTAAAAGGGCGTTCCCCTAGCTCTCCGGATACGGAAGGGGGTGGCCATGTACCTTTTGTTAAGGGGTCCAGCTTTGTGAATCGCCTGGGGCCGAGTTGGCTCTCGACGGCCCTGGCCAAAAGAGAAACCAGAAAAAATTTTTTGGAGAGGTGCAGTATGCCGAAAAAGCCTTGTCTCAATCTCTCAGGGTGTGTTCATAAGATAACTTTTCTATTTGCTGATTTAATGGGTTTTTTTTACTTGAATATTAAGGATTTAATTTCAAGTATTTTCAGTGCCAAGCTTTGAAATATTAGCTGCTACAGAAATGTTAATACGTTTTGATTCTTACAGAATGGTTGCAACTATCCAAGAGGATGAGAAAGCAAATTTCTTCTTTTGCCCGACAAATGTCCTTTACAATCCTTCCAACTGTGTCGAATGCCTTTGATTACAGTTTCCAATTATTCATAATGATTATGGTATGTTTACGTCCAGTTGCAGCAACAGCTACTGCAGGCTTAAAAGGTAGCTGGCGTGGCACGTGAGACCACGTCCTTTTTGCTTCATTTTAGTGCTCTATACCAAGTTTATTTCCCTTAGCTGTAAATCTTAGAAAATATGACCTACTCTTTTCATTGTGATGAATTGTGTGGACCATGTTCTGACAAAGGTGGGGGATAACTAACCTCCTATTAAAGAAGCCACCCCTTTAATGTGTTTTTCCGTGCAAGTGGCTGCAATATTTAAAACAAAATAAGTTCTGAACCCAAACTTTATAAATGACATCATTATCCAAAACTTGACTCAGAACTGAAAATTTGTTTCAGCTCCCCGAAAGTCGAACTACTGCATTTGATTCAGAATGTATCTCTGTTCTATGTTGCAGATGAGATAAAAGGTGCATAATGTAATCGCAGGTTGCGTAAAAATTACAAGCAACAAGTGGGCTTCAGTGATTTAAAAATGCAAAAGTCGCTAAGTGTGAATGTGAATTTTATTGTCGTTTCTGCATATCATTAGATATTAAATGTTTTAATTTTACCTTGTCTATATGTTACGAATTTAACCATTTTAATAGGGTTTTATTAATTGTAGATAAGCTTCTTCTCAAAGCAGCCTACTGTAAATAGATTAATAATAAAAACTTCAGCAGGTTAGAGAAAATATTACCTTTGTGTTTTATAAACTGTGCATTTGGTCAGAAGAATGATTTTCAAAGAGCTTTGGAATGATAAGCAAGGCTGACATATGACAATAGATATACTTTTCAATAAGGATAAGAGATTCACATATAACTGCTGACATTTTAAGCTTGCCTCTTGAAACAAAAGTAATGGTACCAGCACAGTAGCTTGCGGAACGCCAATTTTATAATTAGCTATTATCTACACAACCTTTTATCAGATGTCCGTGTCTGATCATTTGGATAGTATACAGCTATGAGTTGCCTATTCTGCGATGCCATGGTGTTTTGATCAATTTAATAAAGTTTCGTGATTGAAAGAATCAAATTCATTTCAAAACTCAAGAATCGATGTATTCATGGAAATATATTTGCTTTTCTGTGGGAATATAATTATAAGTGAGAATTCACACATGGATATAGCTTTTGCCACCCATTACTTTCCCGGCAAGAACTACTGGAAATGGAAAATAACCTGGGAAAAAAGCTGAAAATGGAAAATAACCTGCACATTTTCAGGTTTAAAGTGTCTTACTTGTCAGAAGACTTTGTAACTTTAAGATGTAACTATTTGATTCTAGATTAACACAAGAACAATTAGATCTCAATTAAACCAATTAGAAGTACTTATTATTTTGCCTTTCAGTTTGGACCTGCTCAGATCTATGTTCAGGCTGGTGTCGCAGAAACCAGAAGTCAAACAAGAAAATTCAGTTTGAAAGCAACGAGGAAAAACATTAGTTCTTTCCCAAAAAGACAATCCAGTGTGGTAATGGACCTTTAATTCAAATGATATAGAGATTTGAGTAAGCCATGTTGATTATTTAGTGACTAAGATATATACGAGTGCTGTACCATCTTCTTCAAAATAACTGATAAGAGCATTCGAGACGAGCTTGCTGAAAAATTAAAGGAGTGACATAAATATGTTTGATATTGATAATTGCAAAAAGTGATCGAAAGTTAACGGAAAATTAACATAAATAAGGAAAGATCATGGTTATTTACTGCATCAACAAGAAGGTGCAGTAAGCTAAAACAGACGCAGCGGTAGAGAAGGGCTTTATTGATTACGTGTGGGGCCATTCCTTCAGGGGCGGTGCTAGGAAAGTTTCTTAGGGGGTGCCAAGGCCACGTTGCCGATTTAATTTTTTCAATTATATGAAATAAAGGTAAACACTGGTGTCAAAAATAGAAGGGACCTTCTCCCATCTTGACTAATAATTGACTATGTGGTTCTAAAACAAATTTCCAACTGTCAATGTAAATAAAATTTTTAAATTTTCTTTAATTTTGGAGGTCGGTTCGTTACTTAAAACCTTAGAGTACCATTCTGAACAATATTTTAATAACAGCAGTCATAAAATTGAGCGTTGGCAAATCCGCGTAGTTTTTAGTATTATCTCAAACGCAGAAATTAAATACTCAAATGCAGAAGTCATTAAAAGAATTCTGTTTTATGATCCCTCGTGGATGAAGAGACACATAATATGATTTTCCCTTTCTTGTTGTTACCCAAGTTTTGTCTACAATGACTAACAAGATGGCGTGATGTTTGCCATAGTGAGTAGTCTGGCAGCAGATGAACAAAGGGCAATGTAACAGCCATTTTAATATCTATCCTACTTCCGTATTTTCTATTTCATTATTCTTTTCATTAGTCCAACCATAATCATTTGAAAGCAACTTTCTATATTTTGTAAGATAGTCTAGCATTTTCTTACTTTTCCACATAAAGCGAATGAATACATTTGAATCACATACATAAACACGTAAACAATTTTGTCTAGTGATACGATCTTCAAAAGAGAAGTAATCAAATAACGATGGTTTGAATGAAAAGACCTGCAAGTCCTTTAACCGCAGATACACGAGCCTTTACGACAGCAAACCATCTTGAACCTAGAAACATTTGTTTTATACATGGTTACGTCTGACTTTCATTTCAGAAAAACTGATACAACAGTAACGTGAATCCACGATTCTCCATGTATAGCTTGGTGTTTTTGAAAGTGGAAGTAACCCATTAATGTGACAGCTATGACAAATACTATACCACCATCCACCATTGTATTCAACTGCACAGTTGGTTAAAAAATTGTCCTCATTGTCACGGTCAATCGTCGTAAACTTCATACCATCGTTGCCCATGAATATCTGGAAATTGGGTCTATTCTGTGCAAAATCTTCGGAAACACTCATATTAAAAGCATCTCCAGCCGTTCCTGAATACCCAGAAACACGCAGTCGGTATCCGTCGGTCTCATTGCCGATACTGAAGGTGTCATAGTTTGAGAAAAATATTTTTTCTCCACTCAGGCGATCCTTTATTTCTATACGAAGACTGCTGCTAACAGTAGGACCAGCGAGCAAGTGCATGTTCTCTAAGCCAATCCACATATTCTTGTCGATACTGCCAAAGCCATGTTTATAATCAGACCAGACACGTTGGAAATCGGTCGAATTATCAATACGTCGTTGTAACACAGTCCAACCTCCACCATCTGTTTCCATATCACAGTTAACCTCAAACAATTCTTTATTAGGTCTGGCTATATGGTAGATGCCACTATCTCTTTTGCCACTGTCATACAGGTCCTTGCAATCTGCTGAAGAAATAATATTGCGATACATATGAAGTCTGTTTATATCAAACCTAATTAGCACCATATTCAGTAGAAGTGATACATCTCCACTTATAAGTAGTTTTTGTGGCTAATGATGTCTATATAATATTCAAATCAGTGTATTGACGTTGATGACGATAAACTGAAGTAGGTATTGATTTTTCTACACACAAACGAAAAAAGACTCTTTCTATATCTATCCTCTCCTATTTTCAATTTCAATTACTCTCTTGACTAGTCCAACCAAAATCATTAGAACGCAACTTCTTATATTTTGACAACCTAGAATTTGCTTACTCTTTCCACATAAAAGCCAATACCTTTTTTATATTCGAAAACTAAATGTAGGAAGCAGAAATAGTGACAAACCACACCTGTTGGTTGTTTCACTTTTTGCCACAAAACACCCTCAGTTTTGTATTTCAGCACAGAACGACGCTCTTTTGTTAAGTGGTAGTTCATTTCAGTATTCTTCTCTTTGAAGACAATAGAACAAGTTTCTGTTCCACTGCAACTTAAAAAGTTTTGCGTGATAAATGTTTCACCTTCCTCAAGGCTGACTTCATCGTCGACTTTCAAAGGCACAAAGAAGTTGCCTAAGGTAGAGAATTGGCTTTTGACAAGCATGATGCAAGTCTGAACCAAAAAAGCATTCACTACGTAACACCTCTTCATTGCCATGGAGTGGACGTAATCCCAGAAAAGTCCTTGCCACTGTCATATCTCGATCTGCGCTTCTAGCTATATGACCAATGACTGCAGGTATTTACAAATCGTTTAGGTCGAAAACAAAGAGAGCAAGAAATGCTTTGGCAACCAGCCTAGGCTTTGGGTCATCTGTTATAGTGCGAGTGCTTCAAAGCTCTCATCTTTTCACTGAAACACCAGAAGATTTGGAGAATATGTGACAAATAATGATACCAACATTTTTTTTAATATTCGGGAGAGTTACTAAAGGGAAAGTGTCAAAGCAATGAAAATATTGCAAATAAGTTTTCTCACTCTTCAATACATTCGGAAAAATGTAAAACTACGTGAAAGCTGTGAATGATTACTGTAAGCGAGTTCAGGACATTAATATTTCATAGATACTTTTAACATGTTACAGCTTTCTAAAAACCAATACAATGTAATGAATAGAAAATTGCCTTTAATTTGTATAGTCTAGTCTGGGTCAATGCCCTGTTTTTACAAATAGTTGCCCATTAAGGCCGTTAAGACAAACATCTCAGCTAGAAACTGTCTTACCTTCTCTTTATTTCCATTAAAAGCAAAATTTCAATAAGAATTAGAAGTTAACGCGATGCTTGTTCAATAAGAATAAATTAGGCATTCAATATCCTGATGTCACAGGATTTTGATTCAGAGTAAATTTTGACTTTGTAAATTGTAAATATCATGTCAAGCAGATAGCTTTAAAATTTTCCACATGAGAATATCTCATGGCACACTCAGTGTTGTTGTTGGTTGTTGAAGAGGGCATGCGGTTTGGGGTGCAGTCAACAGGCAACGTCCTTGTGGTGGACCAGGGGGTGACAACCCGTCTGCTACTGCTCTTTAACGACATCTATAGTTAAAATTGTCTCACTTTCGTGATAGGGCCTTCGTGAGATGGTGTTGTCTCAACCTTGTTATTAGACCAGGCGAGCATCCATCGAGGGAATTTACAATGCTAACTCCGATATTCGGGGAAATTCGGTACCAGATAACCTTTATTTCATGTCCAAACCTACTTTTCATCACAATTGGAACGTCTAGCAATAGTTTTGCAAAATAATTGATTATTATCTTTTTCGATATGCTGAGTTCAACGGAATTGTCTAGTTTCCATACTGCTCGACCTGATAGTCATAAATAAGCACGATTAATAGTCATAAATTAGTATGATTAATTATTTCAAGTAAAGATTTAGGGCTAGGCTAAGGGTTAGGGTAAACTGATTACGTCATCAGGTCGAGCAGTATGGAAACTAGACAGCTTAGAGTTCAAAAAACGTTCAGAAAAGAGTTCAGAAAAATTTGGTACTAGTGAGCCTCTATTCTATGTTGAAACCTCGTTTTACCAAAGTTCGAACGTGGAAAAAGGGTATATTAATCGATTCTTATGAATTTCGATATGTTTATTGCGAAATCTCATACCGAGAAATCCTAAACTTAATTTTACCTTTTCGTGCAGAACATCATTTTCATGAATTCCAGTAAAAAATCAGCTGCACAAAGGTATGTTTTAAAAATAATCTGGCATAAGACAAGTTAGTCCGGCTAATAAAAAGAACCTAGGTTTTTGTGGCAGCCTGAATAGGTTCTTAAATAACAGGCAGCTATTCCAAATTCCAGTCTAAAGGCCGGTTTCCACTTGATTCGCTCTGGTCGCGCGCCTAACTGCAATCTGAAAATTTCTTGTAATGTAACCAACCTGTGAATATAACTAATCAGTCATTACTATTCGATAAGTAAGAACCATTAATTTTTTTTGTTTTCCTATTGATATTTCCTGTTTTGTGCTGCAAAGCAATTTTTAAAACGATTCTTTTTCAAAAATAAATGTTTTCTCTAACCTTCCCTAGCATTAGTTGCCCCTAATGGCCAGAAATTCAGTATCAAATTTACAAGAAACCATAGTCATACGTTTTCAAAAATGGTCCTTTTCTAACATTTTTAAGAGTGAAAGGCTTTCTAGCACGGGCTGCAACACAGGTTGGGAAGTTGAGGGGGGGGGGCAAAAGAAAATTTAACAGTCACAACAAACGATTTTGTGAAAAGTTATATTATTCTGCAAGATAGTGGTAGGGCCATAGCCCCCCGGCCTTCCCTTCGTCGGAGGCACTGTAACACAAAAATTTCCCGAGGAAAAGCCCCATGACCTCCACCCGCAACCCACGCTCCACTCCCCCTGCCCCCTTACAATCTTGCTTCATTGGCTTTATAAATATCTCTTGGGTTTGCGATTATTGAAGAAGGTCCGTATCCACGAAACTCTCTCCAAGATTGAAGATAGGAAGTTGCCTTTCTCCTTTAGAACAATCCTTGCTATTCGACCAGTCAGTGCTATTTAATTCGGTTGGCAATTGCTATTCGATCAGTCACGGCTATTCGATCAGTTACGGTTATTCGAATAGTTACAGCTATTCTATCAGTCACAGTTATTCGAATAGTAACTGTTATTCGAATAGTCAACGCTTATCGATGAGTCACGGCTATTCAAATAACCATCGTGGACCTCCAACAGTGAGGTTATTTGCACTATTCGCTTGTAACCGAATATTTGCTTTGGACTTCAGCTAACAGAATAGTGAAACAGGTAACCGAATACAGATTATTCGACCTTCGGTGGACAGGCCTAGTTTCTACTGTACCTGAAAAGTTTTTGGCATCATCATCAATCGTCAGAACCTTCGTTATACACATGTGTATCGTCATTTATCAAGATAGCAGATTGATTCTCAATCTGATTTTGAAAAGCAGCTCGGCAACATTATATAAATCTATGTCTTTACTCCACAACGCCTTACCGACTGCATTCTGAGAATGACTAACTGGACTGTCAATGCTGAACCAGAACTTTTTCGTTCAACTTAGGGTTTTTCAAGATAAATGTTTGCAGTGTATAGTGGAGAAATGCAATCGACATCTTTAGGATGCTCTCATTAAAGAGTATTTAGAATATAGAGAAAGTTCGCGACAAAAATTTGCTCTTACGTTTTATGAGCACGATTCAGTTAAAATTTTTGAAATCTATCGTAACAGATCTTACACCGGGTAATTTTAGTGGGTAGCGCTAAAATTAATAAAAGTGGCCTTCGTTGGCATTTGTTTACAGTTTTCCGTTATCTGATTGGTCAGAACTCGGGGATGTGTCTGCTTTATTAACCAATCAAAGATTTGAAGCTCATGCTATGCTGAAGTCAGCATTATACAAGCAGCACAAGCTGATCTAGCTATGTGCGAAGAAGATTGGCAGAGCACGGATGTATTAGTCAATAAATTCTTCTTCTTATAAAAAAAACTTCCAAACTCTTCCAGAAACCACCCACTTTACTTTTAAGCGAAAGTTTAATCTAAAGAGGGAGCAACTGTCTTACTTGAGGGAATGCGGTCAGAATTCCGGATACAAGAAGCGCCCCAAACAAGGGTTCATAGCCAGGGTCACTGGTTTCAATAAGCAGATAACAACACAGCAACCCGTTGAGAACAATTCAGTTAAAATATATATTTTAAAAATAAGGGTTAATATTTCAAAAGCTGCATAACCTTGAAGTGCATAGCATAAACAATACAAAAGGTTTTACTGAAGATTGTAAAAATTCTTCACAAAGTCATTAAATGTGGTCATGCACTTAAAAAGGTTCTTGGTGAAAATTCAAGACCGAGCCATCGCCATTCCACCAGGGGCACCGCCGTGAGCTTTGACTTCCTAGGAAATGAGGAAGGATTCACATTAAAATTAGTGTAAACAAAAACATGACAAAATACCTACATAATTCAGTGGCGTAAAGTAGTTCAGGGCAACTCAGAACGGTTAAAAAGGCCACCGACCAAAAGGGGTCCCAAAGTATTTAGCTATGTGTTTAACTTCGCTCAAGTTAACCTTTTCTTCAAAAATTTGCTTATCGAATTGTGTCCTTTTCTGCTCCTTTTCTTTCGATGTGACCAAACAGGGGCGGCTGGCACCAGAAATAAACTGTTTTTTAGTCAGCCAAGCAGTGGAGGCATGGAGGGCTTCCCGGGCAACGAAAATAAGTATCATTCTTTATTTGTTCCCCGCAAATCCATGGGAATGTCTCGTTAACACTGTAACGATCTTGTTTAGAGAAGAGAAGTCTTTAGGTAAGCCATCGTTTATAAGCGAAAGAAGTTATTCGTGCGTTAGACTTTTTCAAGCTGAAATCACGGAAAAAAAACTCGAGAAACAACCCAGTATGTTTCACAAAGTAAGCGGCCGATATCCCGGAATGCGTTATTAGACTGAGGAGGATAATAACGTGCGAGTAAAATGCAATGGCTTTGTGCCCTGTTTTCTATGACGATACGTCACATACACAGAGTAAAAACAAAGGAAATGGTGATTCGCGTTTTTAGAAATGAGTCCTAGTGACGGAAATGTTAGCAAGGGCTATTGTTGACATTTTCTAAGGATATTGAAGGCGAAAGAATTTCAATAAAAGTCTATTGACTTGCGGTGCCTTGAGCACGAATCCAAGTCAGAGTCTATGAAGATAAACAATGACGGTCACTACATGCTTAGAGCTGTGGAAAAACTGTTTTAAGACTAATAACACTAATAGCCCTGCAAGCCGCCCCTTTCACCAAAACCTTTTGCTCTGTGGGTAAAGTTTTTCGATGAAACCTTCCTACTGTCTGTAAATAGCCTTAATTTTTATTTACGAAAAATGAGTTTCCTTTTTCTAAAAGGACCCAGACCCCTCCGTGACACGATTCGTCGTTCAACGAAGAGTAAAGAAAGAAATGAGTAGAATGGGGCTTGCTAATTTTGAATCAACAGACATGAGAAAAAGATTCCGACCTTTTGTCGTAATCTTCAACAACCTAGTTTGACCCACGATCAACATGTAAACATTACAAAGCACAATAGTTAAATCCATGTTCAAGTAACTGAATATCCCATCCCCCCATAACAGAATTTGCTACGCACTAAAAGACATTCACCGACCGGTTTAGCTGTTTACAAATACTTTTTCCTATGGACTATATCCCATGGACCTTTTCAGGCAGAATTTTCCAATTTAGGACTTTTGCAGAATTAAATTACTCGGATAATTTGTTTCTGTCCTACTACTTATATTTGTTCTTTTCAGCCTTTTCAGTCGATATTTTGCGTACAGTCCTTTGTTTTATATAACTTAGCAATGCTACAATATTAAAACCAAATGCAACGTACCAAAGAAATTCTTTTCAGGAGAATATTGCCCAGTTTCTCTTTGAGTTTTAAAGTTATTCAAAGGGCTCATGCTTTGAAATATTTCCTGCCTTGCGCAACCTACTTTTATTTCCCCTGTTCATGCGCATTTTGGCCTACGTTTGTCATTGGTCTGACCTGCTACTGTAAACCCCTAGCTGACAAACCTGATATTTCCTGCCACACAGACAATATTAGAAATAAAACATTCAACGTCCTGACGCCATAGAAAGACAAGCTTTGAAAACTTTGAATTCGGAACACATAACCTTAAAGTTTCTTCTTAGAAGACAATGGGCTATTCCATTTGATATATTTACATGGAGAAGGAAGTAAAATTCCAGGGGGGTCTGGCACGAAGGATATTCCAGGGGGTATCAGACAAATGTAAAAAGAATGACCTGAATTTTCCGGGGGGTTGAAAGAATCAAAATCAGAGTGATCATGATCTTCAAATTCACTTTCCGGGGAATATATGATTAACAGAAATCTTACTTCCATCCCCCTGTATGGAGAAAAAATGGAATACCCCAATATAAGCCCAGCGTTGTGACAAAATTGATGAAATTTGGTCTCATGAACAAATACTTTTTCACTAGGTACCAAATCACGTGAGTTTGTTTTGGTTATAAAATATCTTTCAACTTGGCAGAAAACATCGAGTTAATCTCTTAAACTTGAACTTGAAATCTACACTAGTAGTTGGTCTATACAAAATAAATTGGGAAAATACTCACATTGCTCTCCTGTACGAGCGAGCAAAGAGGGCAGCAACAATAGCACATTAGATCATTCACGAAACTCCCCTGTAAAAAATAAACATTTCGTCAAATACTGAGCTGAAAAAGAAAAAAACAAACAAACATTCAGAGAGACATGAAGACAGGAATTGATTCTTTTTACAACTGACAAGACTACAAAATTGGAAATATGTAAACACTCTTAAAGGACTGCGTATACCCAACTTGTCAAGTAATATAAAACTAACGACTTGTTATTGGTTAGTATTCTTGCGATGCAAAACTGCTCACATGAAAACCAAACTTCACAGCAGGGTAAATAAACAAAATGACCGCAATGGCTGTGGCGATGATATGAAAAATCACGTTTCTGAAAACCCCCGCAGAGTTGCTTGCTTTAGCTGGACACATTACCTTTAACTATGGGTCTTGTTCGTTAGTTACAGTTAAGGAAAACATTGGGCTTTGAATGGTAATGATACAGAATCGACGCAGCTACTTCACAATAAACTTGAAAGTAACTGGTAATGCGAACTCTAAACCATACTCATAGAAAAAACCCCTGTTTGGAAGTTTCTAGCTTGCTGTTTTACTTCATGTGACCATATAAATGAAAGAGATACATGGGACTTTCCTTTACCACCAGGATGCTAGAAACTTTTCTTTTGCTTCAGTGCATTAATATAAAGGTCGCAACGTCGAACGGGGGTTCACAAAAAATCAACCACTTCCAATCGCCACAGGAAGGGCGTCTTTCGTGTTTTCTTTGTTTTGCCTTACCATCCACCGCCTCCACGAGAAAACTGTGCTTCAAAAGGAAGGTTTTATAGCCTGGAAATTCATTGAAGGTATTAAAGTCTTGAAATTCAAGGTTTCATAGCGCTGAGCCCCTAAAAGGGAAATCAAGGTTTTGTCCTGGTCGTTGAAAGTCCTTAAGTAAGCGGACATGGCAAATGTGTTTTTCCTTGAAATTTTATATTAGCAGATGATTCCTCTAGCAGATCGAGTTAAAGTGCTTTCTTTATCGAGAAAATTCCATAGGAAAGGATGCCTGATACGATCCTGAAATGGAATCACACAAATGTCCCGACGTGCATGATATGGCGCCGATATGTGTTTTGTGAGGACTCATTGCTACAAAAACGATTGAGAATAAACAATTTGGCACAAGGAACGAATCCTGAAGGATGTATAGTTAATTCACGTACCTGAATTCCGTATCTTTCTCTGATTTTCTGGCGAATAGTCGACTGCGTGAATAAGCCAATGCAACCAAGCGTCGATAGGAATCCGTAGAGTACACAGTTTTCGCCCATGGCTTCGGCGTTCTTACCTGCCACTATACATGGGCAAAAGTATGCGAAACAGCAATTACCAATGTCGCTAAAGCAACCAAAGGTGCCATTTTGCCAGTCGTTACTCATATTGTAGATTTTGGTCGACACAGCGAGCCTTACTTTCACCAACAATAATCAACTTCTTCCACACGAATAATGAACACGCCCCAGACTAGTAGTTTTCCTCAACCAGCTCCTGTCAATCAAATTGTTTATGGGACATACTAACCAATCAAAACGCCTTCATTCATGCGTTACCAAGGCAACATAACCCTCTACCTGTCAGTAAACAGAAGATAGCGATGTTGTTGCTAAGTGCAAAGAATGCATATTTTGGAGAACAAACAAAAGAAACCTAACACGTACCCAACAATTCATATTATGAATCGCTCAAAAAAGACAATTGTTTTGGGGATCTGGGAGAGGAGGATATAAAAAGGAAGATAATGTGATTAATCCATAAAGTACGTACGCAGTTTGAGTTTGAGAGCAACATTTTGCCCCCCTCCCCCTTATAATCACATGTACGCTTTTCGTGTAAGCTCGGGGGGTAAACTGAGCCTAGTTTTTGACGGGGACGTGCCATTTTGGTTAAAATTTGGTCCCATAATCCCGAAAATGTCTGAAAAAATGAGACCCATAATTCCGCAAACATGATGAAAACTATACCCATAATTCCGCAAAGCAAATAAAATTTTTAAAGCACATAAAACCATTAAACAAATTTTTGCATGTGTGAATAAAGAAAAGGTCACTGTAGCAGGCTGCTCGACAGGCTCCAAGGAGTTCTTGCGGCGAAAAGTCGATAAAAATGTAGCAAATAAGAAACACCGCAATACGCCGAGAATAAACAACAATAAATACAAGTAAATCAGTGAAGGCTTTGCATGTCCTTTGCCCCAAAATCTCAATATTACACTAGTTTTATTTCTAACAGTTCATTCATTTTGTTAATGCTAAATATCCCTCCTAATAATTTTTCAATATTTAATCCCTCCTAAATATCCCTCCTAATAAGAAGCTTCGGGCAGGAAAGGCCTACAGTGTCGTCACTTGATTTATACAAGAATCGTGATATGGTTTAAAAATTATCTCATAGTGGAAACGCTCATTAAAAATTATCTCATGAAAATAAACTCGTGTTAACTCACGTTATCTCATGAGCTTGGAAACACAATTTTTTGATTTCAAGCTCATGAGTTCACTTGAGATAACATCTTATTAAAAGAAGCCGATGCGTGAGAGGGGAATGTGCTATAATTTGCACTGAGGTTCTTACGCAACGCACTTATACTGAGTATTACTTTAGATGTTGAAAACAGTTTTCTTTACTCAAAAAAAATTAATTGTGAAATAAGAGAAACATTTTCTCATTTCTAAGATCCGGTTGAAAGTGGTCGTATTCACCAAACGCATATCTTTTTTAGTAGACTTCCGTACCGAAAACCTTGGCGCAGATCGCGAACGGCACTTCTAGCAAAAAAAATATTTTCCTTCTACGTATTCTCAAAAGCAGAAGTAAAATAAGTTGTTCTTGTAAGACGCCTGCCATAGCTGCAAGATTCAAATAATATGTGATTTCTGAAATTTCCATACTTAATTCTATCTCAAGTGGAAACCGAATCGGTACATGGGTTAATTTTGAGATGGCTCGCGTTATCTCACGCTATTTCACACTATCTCAAGCTAACTAAGCTAATTTAGACCTTGAGTTAATTAACATTTTAAACAATAGAAAAAGTTTGCCGCCGCCAGTGGCGGATCCAGCCAAAAACCTGACTACCGCCGAAATGAGAAACGAGAGAATCGACCACACCCATTTCCTGGTCACACCCGGTTTTCTAAAATGATTATTGCTTTCTATAATTTTACAGACAACAGGATTTCGAAGATAATTAATAGAGAGTGCGGGAAAACACTCTCTATAAATTTCTATAATTTCTTATGTAGACCATTTTCAAGAGACAAACGGTGGTTTACCTAAATTTCATGTATCCTTACAACAAGCTTGAGAAGAAATAAATAATTTTATTCAATATTCTGAGGATGGATATTTTAAAAAATTTAGCCGAGGTACACCATAGAATTAGAAACATTTGGCAGAATTTGGAAATGTCGCCTAAAACTCGCATTTAGTCTGACAATTACTTATGAAAATCAGACCTGTTGGAAATTATAAGTTTAAAAAGCCAGATAAAATTTGCAATTATTGAGGGGAACTTTTATTAAAGAAATAATCATACTTTTGGCGCACTATGTGGGCCTGACTTTTAATCCTGATGCCTTCTTAACTTTTAGAATATTTGAGTCTAAATATTGTTATAAAATATATTCCTACCAATATTTTTGTATTGTACAAAATACACATCGTCTTTGAGGTTACAGTTTGCCCACTTGCAGAATATGAAGTCATCCACCCATCTTTCTGTAACGTTTGAGCCGTGTTGAGCGGTTGTCAACAAAATTTGTATGCATCCCCCCAGGTTGGCTGTGACTCAACCTCTCCAGCTAGCAAGCCATGATTTCATCATCCCCCCAAGCTAGCCTTTTATTTTCAAACATGTGACTCAGCCAATTGGCACGCAATTTCCATAGCGATAAGGATTAAAAAGTATTTCTTGGTAGTCTCTTTGGAAATTTCAGGCATGTTTCTAGGAAGGAATGCTTGGTTTGCAGCGCGATCAAATATTTTCAATTTTTAACTATGGTTTAATTAAAGTAGTAAGAAAAACATGAAAATGATCATTGTTTTATAACTTTTTGAATAATCTGACTACCGCTCGAGCGGTAATGGCGGTAGTCTGGATCCGATTTTTTTGTACCAGGAAAGTCGAGATGTAGGGGATGCATGACAGAAAAAGGGCTTGCTTAAATTTAATTTCAGCAGTTCGTCATCTTATTGCTGGGAGCTTTTGTACTCGATGACTCCGATTGTAATGTACTGGCAAGATGTCAGGGGTCTCCTCTGATATTAAAAATAAATTAATTCAAGACCTTAGCTACCATGCATCAGACCTATCCATGTTGTGACAAATTATTTTTACTTTTTTGAATAATTTGCCTCAATTATATTTTTCGTATATATTAGAACTGTACATGCCTATTTGTACAAGCAATTTTTCTTTAGTTAGTGATTTCAAAAATTTTATTTTATTTATTTTTACTTATTTTAGAAAGAATTTTTGTGATGCTCTTTTGACTTCTTCAACGCAAGGCAGGAGGAACTTGAAAGGATCCGAACCCTCGTCCCCTTTTTTCCAAAATGTGGCAGTGAAAAATGTTTCACTACAATCTTGATTTTAACATATCCGAGGGTCTTTAGGGCGTGGCTTCACCCAGTCCCCCTTTGGGCAGGACCACCTGTTCTTGGTCAGCTTCGCCACTGCAGCTTAGAAATTGGAAGACATGGGCTCCGACACAGGTTGGAAAGTGGGGGAGAGGGCAAGGAAAAATTTAACATCCATAAACAAGAGATTTTGCAAACAGCTTTTTTGTTTTGCAAAAGTGCGAGAGAGGGCAGAAGGCAATGGCAATTATGTCGGAGGCCCTGGAAAATGAGCTCTCAATGTAAAAGGAAACAATCAATGTTGATATTGAATTGCTTGGAAAAAAGAAATGATGGTTAGCGGTTAGTGCTTCCTTTTAAAATCCTTACTGTTACTCTTGGAAAAAGCGTAAGAGAAAGAGGCCTCCACCCAAAACAAAAAGATTTACACTCTCTTTTTTTATAAGAAACCAGTAAATTTAAATTTAGGCTGACTGTTTTTAATTTTTTCAAAAATCGGAGATAGAAATTCAGTTCAAGATGAACAAGAGGAAAGCAAACTGGTTATGATTCCAAGGTCTTCTCGATCAGTCAAATTAGGAAACACTGAATCTACAATCTAGATTCCGGTATAAACGATTACAAACCGATATCCCTAATATATTCTCTAAACACATCCAATTTTAAATTCCATACACGCGTTCGTGTTCCAACCGAAAAAGAAAACAATCTACATTCAAGCAATCCAACAATAAAAATCCTATTAACGGATTTATCGAGTTTCGGGGAGGGATTTGATTGTTTAGTTTATCACGGAAATAAACTAAACAATACTCATTATTCACAACGTGTCCTGCCGCAGAGTCTTCGTGTTTTCTAACACAGCTTGATCTGACAGTATTTCATAAGGCAGGTATAAAAAAGCTATATTTCTATCCATGCCTTTCATTCCCCCCCTCCCCTCTCCTCCCAATCCAGTTTAGCTGTCTACGGGCATGTATATTGCACGTGTTACATACTATGTTCTAGACTTCTAGTTATATTTGTAAATAATAGCGTTAAATACGTATATATTTCAATCAGAGGCGGATCCAGAGTGAGTTCCTTGGTGCCAGAACTCAGTCAGTTTTCCAACATATAGCTAAAAATAGTGTTGCCTGAAATAAGTAATATTTAGGCTAAAAAGTGAAACCTAGAAATTGTAAGCTTTATCGACGTCTCTTCAAAATCTTAAAATTGCCAGTTTGATATGATTCGTTCGCCCTTTTCCTTCCTTCTTCTCTGTCGTGATTTTGAAACGATTTTCCAGACGCTGTGGAGGACAACAGCAGTCAATCTTAGAACTCGGAAATAAACGTTTTGTGCCGCGGGAGTCAATGAATTGAAACAATGAAATTTTTGTTTGGAACACGGATGAAACTCAGTCAAAACAGCATCTGGAACTCGGAAATGATACCATATTTGTAAAAGAGCTGTACAATAGCCAGTAGTTGATGGGCTACCTATTGTTTCTAATCCGTTGTAGAATTGCAAAACTTTGAATTCGAAATGGCGACTGCAGATGTCTTATTTTCACGACCCTCGCAGCATTTTAGCAGATTATTAAGCGTTGAGATAAAACCAGGAAGTAATTTTCCAGGAGCATTAACTACCTTTATTTTAAATTGCAGTTGTTGATGGCAAGAGAAACCTATGATCAGACGGAACACCATATTTTGAAAAATAGGCTGGTATCTACGTGGGCAAAACAACAAAGTGCAAGTAAAACTAAAGGGAAAACTTTGCTGTGGAATCCAAGACAAACAAGAGAAAGGGAGGGGGTTGCAGAAAGGGAGGCACTGGCTTCTGTCGGAAAAAAATCTATAATCTAGATTTAGTGAGTGGATAGTACCTACCAACCAAGTTATGAAGATCTTTTGTTGTTTGCCTCTAAATCTTGATGGAAAATCTTAAGAGTTGTGCTTTTTTCAAAATTCGATTGTTTCTTTTTGCATTAAGCACTGAAGTTTTGCAAATTTTTCTGAAATTCAGTCGATTTTTTGGAAGCAAGTTTTTAACTGTTACATTCTCATTTTGTTGGGGAACTTTGTGCTGCGCAGCATCATATTCCCACGAACGCATCACAATAGGTGATATTCTTGTTGTTATTTTTTAGCACTAATGACGAATCTGTTAAGCTTGTCACTTCGTCTTGAGATTCTATATAATGGCGGCAGAGCAATTGTGCAAATCACATAATACTAATATTGAGCTCATTAATACCTTTTATTGTTATGTTTTGTAATTGAGAGTGTCTTTAGAGTAATTATTTTTACAGTAAACAGATTGGGAGTGTAAAGTGTAGAGTGCAGACGTAGGTTGTGAACAGAGATTGATGAATATGATGATGAAATTGAAGATTGATGAAATGTTTCGAGGGTCTCTTATTTCCCTTCAATCTTGCTTGTCTTTACACTGATTAGCCTTGCTCAAATGTCCGTGCTTTCAGGCACCGCGCAGCCATTGGGCTAGCAGGGGCTATAGCCCACCCACTTTTTGCAATAATAGGCTAGAAAATTTTTCGAAGGTTTACTTTAACGAAACTTTTGATAGTTTACTCCTATGAAGTAGCATTTCTCATTGACTGGGAACCAGTTTTGTTCTTTTTCTAGGTGTTTCATCTTGTTTAATGATATGATGTCTTTTCTAACTTCGTTAGCTTGGGTTTTTAGTACCCTCGAGCTAATTTTATCTATTTCTATGGTTATTGATATCTTCTCTGAACCAGACTCTTTATAAAAATTCAATAGAAATAAGCAAGCATTTTCTAAAAAGGACATTTTCCGGCGTTCTAGAGAGCGTGGCCTCAAAAAATTTCGGTCACACCCATTTCAGTTCTTCCACTTTTAGAGTAGTGCGCGGTCCCTGCGTGCTTTGTCCAATAACTTTGGACTTGTTGGTTGGAGGAGACAGTGCTATCTCTACCTTTCTTTGCAGAAGGAACTGGTCCAGACGATGATTTGGCTGTTTCAATGAACGTGTCAACGATCCCCTCATCTGCACCTCTTTCAAACTATGCTACAACAAGCATATAAATTGAAGATTCAAAGATATTATCAATTTGACAAGAACCCCATTTCGTAAAAGTTTATTCTCGCAAATCATAGAATTTTCGAAAAACGCGAAAGTTTATTCCCGCGAAATTTTCCATTTTGCTCAATTTGCGAAAGTTCATTCCAAAATATTCGCGTTTTTCAAAGCTCACGAAAGTTTCCTCCTGCGAAGCTTTACGTGCAACCGGAATCGTGCAACAATAGGGTTGGCAAGAACAGTGTCATAGTTTGCCTACAAGGAAACTGTTCATGTTCTGAGAAAATGTGGAACAATAATTATTTTTTGTTCTGTTTTGATTCGTATCCTATTAGCTGTTTCACATTCAATTCCTGTTGCGCAAATGCGGTGTTAGATGTTAAATGTTGCTGGGTTATGTGTTCGTTATTTTTTTATGTTGTCAAGAGTGTAAGTTCGTGATTTCTCCACGCTCTTTCTGCAAATTCGACATAACTTTTAACAGATAGTACTGCACTATGGCGCGCCGTTGCGGCAAAAAATGATTAATTTTTGTGCATGCAGTTTTCAAAAAATGTGCATGCAGTTTTCAAAAATGTGCACGAGTTTTAAAAAATGTGAATGCACATAAAAAATATTGTGTATGCACAATCAAAAAACTGTGTATACATAAATTTTTGTGCATCCAAGTTGTTAACTGTTGTGTGTGCGGACTTCGCTGCGTTTGTGTCACAAATTGATAGGTGTGTGTATGTTATGTCTGTTGCAAAAATGGTGCGTGTCTCATGTAATTCGATATGCCTTTGACATTATGGCTACCCGCTGACATTTGTTCGCATTTTCCTTCAGTCAAAATCCATTTTAGATGCAATTTTAATCCATAATTCTAAACTCTTTTTCTTCCCACCATGGTTGGCCTTTCATAAGCCCTTTCAAAATTTTGATACTTTCGAATACGTTTCGCTGGCCCTGAGCTTTGCAGGGGTTTTTTGGCCCCCTCTGACTCTGACCCTCTCTATCTACACCTCTAGCTGTTTACGAAATTAGCTATTTGGGGCCTTAAATTTTACATTTATCTTTTCTGCGTGTTTCTACGAACGTATGAAAAATATGAATATCATTATCTTATCTTCATTATCATCAGGGACGACGGAGCGACGAAGGGGAAAGGGGGGGGGGCAGAATTTCATTTTGAGCTTGAATACTCCGGGCCACTTGAGCTTTCGCAAGCCTCTTGGATTAAACGGTTAGCTTCCTTCTGATGTTTAGCCTTTTATGTCTATACCTTCTGAATTTCTCTCCGAATCTCCATGAATCTAACTAACTACGTAGTGCCGTCGGAATGAAATTCATATTGGGGGGGGGGGGGCTGCCCATTGTTTTCCTCCTCGTTCAGTACACTGTTATAAAGGAAACATACTACAGTTTGACAATTATTGGGGGGCTCCAGCCCCCCCCAGCCCCCCGGTTCCAATGGGCCTGCTTCGTATATTTATATGTACAAGGAAAATACCAGAAAAGCATAACTAAGCATAAAATGTTACCCAATATAACTAATGACTACGCAACATAATGTAATTCTAATGAGTGGTAATCCTACGGAAAGGAAAAGTATAGCCGCTCGCAAGAAACCGTTAAAGTATCAGTCTTCGGATCATCTCTCGCGATTTTAAACCTCCATTTTACAATGGTAAAATCCCAGCCGTATGGGTGGCACTGTATTTAAGTTAATATTTTATGATGCTACCCCAACCTCGCCCCCCTCCCACCTAGGAATACTCGATATGTTAGTAGAAAAATTCCAAGATTTGCCCTCGGCACCAACACTGCCCCTCCTGCCCTTATCTTTTGCAGGCGTCCCTGTGCGAAATTATGGGTCACATTTTTTCAGAAATGTGCAGAATTATGTGTCCTAATTTTTTAACCAAAATGGCACATCCGTGTTCAAAATAGGGCTTATTCAATTCTCACCGAAGAAGTTGAGATTTTATATATCTATTCTATTCACTAAAACCACAGAATAGAGATTAATCTCTATTCTGTGCTAAAACACAGTGCCAATTTCACAAAGACACAGTGCTGCCCCCGCTGAGTCAGGGCAGGAGGGGCAGCTACCCCCGTGCTTCTGGCGCCCCTGATTGAAAACACGTTTTTTTTAAAAAAAACGGTATTCAGTTCAATTCTGAGCCCTAATATTCTTTGAAAAAACTCTCAAAAAAGAATATACTGGGTTTGGTGACGACGTTTACCTTTTTGAATGAAGCAATGTAAAAACGCAAGTATTATTTGGCAGCTGTTAAAAATGACAGGACAAAGGAAAAAAACCCAGCGGGTAGCCATAATGTCAAAGGCATATCGAATTACATGACGCACGCACCATTTTTGCAACACACACACACATACACACATCGATTTGTGACACACAGGCAGCGAGGTCCGCACACACCACAGTTAATAATTTGGATACACAAAAATTAATCATTTTTTGCCGCAACATTTAAGCCTAATATTAGCTTAATCTAAAGCATGTAACTCTAGGAAAGGAAAGGGAAATCTCTAATTTTCCACAAAAAATAACCGAATATAGACTAAGGTTGTCCTTTAGAAAAACAATGGTTTTTGTACTTGAGTCTTGCCTCAAAAAGAAAAATCAAAATTAGAATCTACCATCCTAGAGGATAACTAAAATACAAAAACTCTTCAGAACGTCTTCAAAAAACTAAAATGCAAATAAAGAAGGACTCTTTCTTGAATAACCATGTAAAACAGAAAAAAGCAAGGTATACTATAACTCTATTTACAAGCACTTAATAAATAATAGCCAGAGAGTTTGTAGCTAGAGCTTAAATAAAACGATTTGTTGTCTAGCATTGTTACGAGCGCCAAGCGGAGAACGAAGGTTGCTCGCTCGGTTTGTCTTGCTTTGGTTTTACGACTTTGCCAAGATTGTTCTCATTCGATCCAGCCAAGACGTCCCCGTTTACAGCAGCATTATAGGCATTAACACCTGGAAAGAGAGGAAAAATATCTTTGCAACAATCGACTATACCACGAATCCAAGACTTATCCACCAGGGCAGGGCCTATTTTGCATCAGAAAATTTGGACATTTGTGATTCAATCATGTATTTTAATTACACTATTTTCTTTTTATAAGAATAATTTTATAAGAACACAAGCCTCAAAATTGGTCAAAAGCTAAGAACAAATTAAGAGCAAGCTGAGGCTGAGCTTCTGCAATATGCAATTTTGAACAACATCTTATCTAAAAAACGAGGATTTTAGCCATGTGTGGGTGCTTTTACGGTGAATATTCAGACTTGTCGGCAAATGAAGGTTGTCTCACTCCCATTGTTGCCAAATGAGGTCTGAATACCTCCCTAGAGCGAAAAAGCTAGCAATCGCACTGCTTACACTTTATCAAATTAAGAACAATCCAGCCTCAGATTTTCGAAAAAGTTAAGAACATCCAGCCTGAGCTTAAATTTACTGGCTCTTATAAAAAAGAGTGTAATAATTCAACTGACATCAGTAAAAATGTTTTATAGTTAATGTAAATGTCTTTCGTGAGTTAATTTCCATCAGAATCCTTGTTTGTACAGAATAATTGATCAGCAGTATTCTGAAACAAATTTCTCGAATGCTTAGACAAAAAACGTCAATTAGTAAAAAAATCTCATTTAGAATAAATTAAACGCACATATTGAGCAGGCATATCTAAAATTTAGAGCACGCGATCAAAAACTGATTTACCTGTATTCAAACAAAAGTGGGACACAGAACTATAATATTCTTGCTATATATTACGGTCGTTTGAGTTCGAAAATAAAAACAATACCTAATCGAAGACATCACACTGGCGTCGACATCACAATAGGCACTAACTTTCTGATGAAAAAATTATTCGCAAAAGAATAGATAGTTTCAATATACTTTTTTTAACAGCTGTAAACAGTTTAGGTGTAAGGTCGTGGAAAATTCTAAGGGTTTGTCTGCAATACCAAAACATGTAGCTACAGCTACATTTATTGTGTAGAAAGGAAGGAAGGCACCGCATAGCAGGACCGTACCTCATAATTGTTGTTGTTGGGGGGAGGGGCTCGAACTGCTTGTTTGGCCCCAATGAAGCAATTTAAGGTCATATGAAGCTCGAACATATGAGGCCCCAATTATAGTGTTTGGAACCTGCGCTGGAGCACGTTGCTTTTCGTGTTGATCGTTACACAGATTTGTGCTTGCTGCTACATTTTCAGAAACGATAAACATTAAGGCCTGGATCAAATGTCGCATTTTACAGGTGTCGAACACAATAAGTGAATTAAATGTATTTAAAATGTATTTTAATTATCTGCATGTGCTCAATTTTATTCGACCACAATGACACTTTTCGCAATACCAAGGACACCCTTTCGCACTTTGCGACATTGGTGCGACTCCAATTCAAGCGTCGCATTTTACATGTGTCATACAAAGGCGTCACGTCAAACGTCGAATTCAATGTGTCGAAAAAAATAAAATATCGTATTTCCTCTAATGAACGCCGCCGCACCTTCAGCGAAACATTTGGGAAAAAAGGCCGCCCTCTATTGAACGCCGCATCTTGAAAAGCGGCGTTCTTTAGAAAACACACCACTATTCGAAAGCTATGAAAGTTTTTATGTCATAGAGACGTGACATTTCCATAACGTAAACAGTGGCGTTCCCAGGTCTGCAGCAGTGGGGGGGGGGGGATCTGGGGCTTAGCCCCCAGAAATTTTTTGGACCATGCCCTTCAGACACTCGCAAATGCGGGGAAACGCCCTTTTTGCAAAATTCCCCCCATTATTTGATTCATGTTAGCTACGGTAAATAGCAAAGTATTTTACAATTGTTATTGACACAAGCATACAGTATACTACACACCCCTGTCTTTCCAATGAGTTTTACATCGTTTTTGGACAAATCTCGAGGATCATATCTTAGAAAAGTGGGGCCCCCCCTATTCCCCCCCCCCTTGGGTACGCCACTGAACGTGAAGACCTATTTTGTAAACTTTCAAAAATTGTTCACACAATCTCTATCACATGTTTCTTGGGAAAAGAAAACATCGTTTAAAGTCTATTTGCATCTTTTTTCATCGAATCTAGAATTCGAATTTAGAATTCGAATCTGGATGTTGAGCGGGTGAGAGATGATGCTTTTCTTATACAGGGGGGCTTTGTCCAAAAACTGGAATAAGCCTCTTAATATCTTATGAATAGATCAAGTTGTATTTAATCCATGTTTAGCAAAAATATCATCTCCAGTGGACCTAGAGCAGCACTGCTGCCAGCGCTGGGGCAATTGACTTAGTGAAAGATGAAATATAGGGCCATTTTGCTTGGAAAAAGGAATTAGTTAATCATTTTGATCTGTGATTTGTCTCACAACGTTCTAAGCTGAAGCCATAACAGACTTACATTGGCTTCTATTGTACATATTATAAATTCAAGAACATAAGTTGTCATGTCGTTAGCATTCTCTTTCATCTGCACTGTCTCTCGATCACTGTACCAAGCTAACTGAAGGTTGCTAGGAACTCCTGGCTATCTTTCAGTGCATTCCAGAATACCCTTTAATGCGAAAACCTTAATATTCAGACCAATAATATTTGTGAAGATATTTTAATAGTTTTGATTTCGGAAAGGATGGTTATTGAGAAGAAAAATATCGGCAAGGCGCTCTTAGATTTTATGTTGGCACACAATAAATCTTGAGAAAGCGGTAGGGGATCATGCTGCGGGGTTAATACCCTTAAAATGAACTAGGAACTTCTTTTAGATCGAAGACTTACTACTACCCTTTTGATTTAGATCCGAATTTTTCCATGGTCCATCCAGCATACAGGGGATGCATTTGTCATATTTGTTGACCATCAAGGTATTGTCTAAAACCTTTGTTATTCAGTTACCCAGCAACAGAAAACCAAATATTTGGATACAGTAAAATTGCGTATTTCAAATGTATAAGGAAGGATATTATGTTAGCTTACCAATTGTACAGTTATGCTGGTAATTTTGTCGAGGATTAGCTTGGCTGTATGACTGCCTTATGTTTCGGATTGCAAACAAGTATTTTTAAGAAATTTTTCTTCCCTTACACGAAAAGTCAAAGATGAGGGATTACGGAGACTTTCTATGTTAAAATTACACCCTTTACATCTTGAGGTTCCGCGGGGATCGGCACAGTTTTTGCCTCAACATTGATGAATAAATTCTCGTTATCTGTTCCGGGTCCCAGGATCAAAAGAGGACTTCATTAAATATCCAGCAATAATCTTTGAAGCTTCAAAGTTTTACTGAATTTCATCCGCCAAACGGCAAAATAATCATTCCACTTTTGAAACGCCGTACCGTTAATGACAATTCATTCTCCCGTCCTAAACATTTTTAACAAGCCTCCTCACTTCTTAATTTTGTTTTGAAAATTTGTCAGCTTGCGCTTTTGGCCACTGTAAGCCGCCATTTTGATCTACCATTTTTGTTCTTTTGTACCCTAGCTGTAGAATGTTTCGAAAGTCCGTCTAAATTATCTTCGAACTATCATCAACTAAATCAATATATAACACGTTAACCATCAAATTAAGACCTGAAACATAGTCATTCTTTAACCGAAAACAACCTCAGTTAAGTCTATTAAGGTAAGCCAAGGGAGTATTTTATCAAGTTGAGTAGCAATGATTTAGTAAACAGGAAACTTTTTCAAAGAAAACCTAACATTAAGCAAATAATCGGCAAAATGTCCAGTGAGGATGTATTGCTTCTATTCCCATCAGGTGCTTCTATACCCCTTATTAAGGCACATGTCACTTACCTTCGGAATCGGTTGGAATTTGTTCGTCATCAAAGCGAAGCTGAAAAAGACACAAATGAGGCACAAATCACACATACGAGGCAACAACCAAATTTTAAAATTAAATAAAAAAAGGAAAAAATCATCGTTATGCGACGAGACCAACTTCTGCCGAATATTAAAAGATTTCTACAGAAAAATTAATGAAGCAACGTTGTTCATCAGTTTAGGAAATAGAATGGGCTTATGAAACGGGCAAAAGAAATCTAAAAAGCAAAAAAATTACAAAAACTACGAAAGTTTACTTCCTTGCAGTTATCATTCGGTTTTGAAAATTTACCAAGGTGAAAAGTAAGGCGAAATTATTGAAAATGAAACTGGAAACAGATAATAAAAAAGGAAACTCGGCTGTAAATAAAAATTTGTTATCAGACATAAGTCTACGTAAATCAACTTCAAAATATACCTGAAAAAATTATATTAAATACAGTAAAAACTCGCGTATAAGAACTTGGTTTTTTTCAATTAGTCTAAACAGGTTCTTATATGAATGGAACTTGAAGTGAATTTAGGCCACCAAGGTTCTTGAAATAGGATCTTATATTTATGTAATAAAATCATAATTTGCATCACTTTGTAACACAATCATTATGTCAACATTGTCAGTGAGTTGCTGTAACCTGCAGGATATTGTTTAAAATCATATATTCTTTACTGACATCTGCTTCAAAACACTTTGCATCATCAGCGAACAGAAAGCTACAAGATTAGTAAGCATCATTTATGCAACGACGACAAAGACCAAAGGACAAAAGAAAGAGCCTTGGGGTACCCAGATATAACTGGGAGTAGATTAGAACTAAAACTACAACAGAGGCGTTCAGGCTTCTATTTATGAAGTAAGAATTAAAAACATTGGGCTTGGATTTTCGCATAGAACCTACCACAGTGTTCAAGTTTGTCTAAGCAATTCAAAAGGAGATTCGACATACTGCACATAATGCTTTTGCTGTATGAAAGTCCCTCAATTTTCTCTGCCATACTAATCAGTGTATGACATGCACAATTGTTCCCATGAAAAAACCGTTCTATAAATTGATGCTAAGTAATGCTCAAAAGCCAAACTTATTGTCATTTGGTTGAATTTGTTTAAGACATTTTGAAGCTCACATAGGCCATGACCTCAAATAGGGCATTTAAATAACTCTGCTAATATTAACACTGTCAGTCCTTTAATGGTATTTTCGCTTACCAAGGTTACATAATTATGAAAAAGTATTACAAAAGAAGAAAAACCACCCCGATAAATTTTGTGACGGGACTGGTTTTTTACGAGAAAATACATTGCTGTATGGGCGTATTGCTGCCATACCAGGGCCTCCAATGCTTCGATCGCAAAAGCAGGTATATCGAAAAAGCAGGCGTGCAAAGTAGTTAAACCGGCAGAGCTAGATACAAACATGAAAAAACCCGGAAAAACATCATGCATAAATTTCCTGCAAGAATGGGAAGATAAACGAAGAAAGGGTCAGGTTTCAAAAACCTTAATGACATGTCACCAGTTTTATGTAAATGAAGGCTTCAATGAACGTTTATTAAGATTAAAGTTAGTTTACTACCACTTCAAAGCATTTTCTGTTTTGGTGACTGAAAATTATTCTTAGTTCGTGAATGCCTAAATTGATCTGGAATAGGGGCTTAGTGCTAATATCAACCTCCTAACTGACGAGAAAATTTACAATCAGAATATTAAAGTTTGCTAGAATGCATGTGGAACAGTACAAATGGAGATCAAATTGGGCTAGCTGTTATCTTTACGTGATGGGACAGGCATTAAAATAAACAACATTGAAAAATGAATTAGTCTAAAAAGATGGATCATATGATGTCCTTGTTTCCATTGACGTTTTGAACAAACTATGTGATGAAGATATCGGTAAGAACCCAGAGTAGAAAACAATTTCAAAAGTCATGAAAGAAAGATTTTTTTTATCAAAAAATCACTGTGATATACAATAAACAGTATAGGCCTTGGGCGCATTTCAATCGCAAGAATTTGTAAGTATTTTCAAGAACTCTACAAATTTTAATAAAGATTCTTTAGTCAGATGAAAAATTTGAAGTTTCTATCAACCAATAATTTTCAAAAACATTCTCAAGGATTCTTAGGAAAGAAAACCATTTGAATCTGTACAAGGCATCCACATGAGATATATTGCTTTTGTCTTCATGTTTTTACTTTTGATAAGCATGAAAGAAACAAAGGCGCTTTTTGAAAAAGAGTATATTTTAAAAAATTTACTGCAGAACTTTATTCATGAAAAATTTCCTGCGGCCGCTTAGTCACATGGTCGGGTGGGTTTTCATGCCCTAGCTAGATGGCTCACAAATTTCTCTAACAAACACTGCTCCACGGATAATCTCGACTGAAATGCTAGTATCAACCTCAAGAGTATTACGGGGGTCGAAATAACGTTCCGTAGGCGGACGTTTCCAGAGGGAAATAGAAAACGTCTGGATTCATGAATGTCAAATTTGCAAAGAAAATCCGGATGCTTCTTTGAAAAAACCAAATCCATAATTCCTGTTACTCATGGACTGTAGAATTCGCGATCTTTGTCAACCCGTCTGCCGCCCTTTAATAGAGAGTTTCCGATCGCCGACGCAGCTACGACGGGGACGTTTGCGAGGCTTGGAACTAGCGCGGTGAGAAAAAATGGCATACCCCCGTGATTGCTTCTCGTCCGGCCTACAACGCAAAATTCGAAAATTTCCGTCGGAGCAAGAACGCTGAGTTTGAAAGGTAAGAACTAATTGTTTTGGGTGTAATCGTTTCGAATTGAGATCTTTCTGGCTCAGCAAAGCCGCAATTTACCTCTTCGAACTAAAAATAGGCCATTTTACCAAGTTTTCTTTTGTATTTCAGCCTTATCAATTCGACCTATTTCTGAAGGAAAATGGCAACTAAAGTGACACCAAAAGACATGGAAAGCCGGCCCTAATTCTTAGACACAATGCATTAAAAATAGTTGCAACTGACTTTATGTACATTGTTTGTAGGTTTTATAAGTTTTAGTATTTTTAAACCTTTTATTTGTAAGAAACAAAGTAAAAATTTGACTAAAGTTTTTTAATCACAAGAATGCTAGCTTCAGCATGTTCAGGAAGCTACAGTTTTCAGATCTATAGTATCAAAGGGGTGTTTCCCATTTTTGTATAGACAACTGAACTAATTCCTTGTCCTATGGATTAAATTTAGGTAGGATTTTCTTTTCAGAAAGTACTATATGTATTCATTCTTTTATATATGGAACTTGCTTATGAAACAAGTGCTGGGAATCCCAAAAATTTAAATAACTTTATAGTATTCAAAGGAAAAGAATTTATAAAAATGGAGGGCTTGAAACATCTAAGTGTTGGCATGAAAATGTCCGACCTAGATAACTAAGATTTTTAAAAAATTCCACAAATTCTTCAAAGCATTCTATTTCTCTCATTGTATGTAATTTATTTCATCTTTCTTTTGTAACCTGTTGCTGTATTTTAAAAAATTTGAAGTATGTATGGATTTTTAAAAAAAGAAATGAACTGTAACTGAACAGCAAACTTCATCAGTCTCCTATCTCCTGTTTATGTGTTAAACCTTTTCTGCAGCCTGAATAATAAAGGACCCCAATGTATGAATAAATGACATGAAAATTTGGAAATTTAAGAAACAATGAGTGCTAAAAATTGCTGCATTCAGAGACTTCAGTGTGTTCTCAATGTTGACCTTTGTTTCTGATAATAAATGAATGTAATTCACTTTTTGGATCAAAACTAAATGTCAGTGTAGTACTGAATTAAAAACTGCACAGCACCAAGTTTACTGTCATATAATTGGTGAAGAGGGGTTTGCACAGATACCTTGCTTGAAACTACTGTTCACATGGGAGATCTCTTTAAAAGTGCGATTCTCTGCATACTGAGATATTCTTACTTACATGAAACATTGTATTTTTTAAGTTTCAGATATATCTTTATAGAGTGACAAAAGTTATTGGCTTGTTTGCCTTGAACTCTTGACTTGGATTCAACTGTAGTTCTTCTGTAAATAAATCTCCCTATAGCCAGATATAATTGATATCTGAACATTCCTACTTTTCAAGTAAGGACACAGTGTCTATAGTTAGGTAAAAACATATTTTTTTTATGTGAAACATCTTGACACTTTTTGTAATATAAACTGCCTTTTATGATGCACTAATTGCAAAGATCGTGATGTGGATAAGAAATTTTTCCCTTTCTTACAAGTTTAGCCTGTCCACTCTACTGGAATCCCACTACAGGCTGGTAGCTCCTTTTAAGTTTTTGGACTTTAAACATTTCTTATTGAGGGCTTGTTTTGTGGCTGCCCTTGAACTACTGTAAAATTTACAGTATACATTTAACAGACCAAAAATTAATTTAAAACAGAAATTTTTATAGTACTGAAGTATCATTTTCTTTCACCAAGCATTTGTATTTAGATAATCTCTCATGAAACATGCAAGCAAAATCCTGCATGCTGGTGACATTTGGAAATTATAACATTTGAATATATTGCATAAAGAATAATCTCTTTGCCGTCGATATCGCCCTCATCGTGCAATAAAAACAACATGTCGTCCATTTTTAGCTTGTTTGATTTTGGCGCCATTCTACGTCCCCGTCGTAAAATCGGAATCTCATTTTTCACATGTGCAGGAGGACGGAACGGCCGCGCTATTTCCAGGCCTCTCAAACGTCCCCGTCGTTGCTGCGTCGGCGATCGGAAACTCTCTAATGAAGAATCGAGACCGTACTCAGGACGATACATGCTCTTCCTTTCGTAAAATTCCAGCCGTCCAGAGCAGCTTCCGAAGTCCGCCCTTGTTATACTTAAGCCCTAGCAAAACGACTAAACATTTCACTCAACTTTTGTTTAGTGAAAAAATTTGTGGAAAGTTTATTCTTTTGTTTAGTGTTGTTTAGTCGTGTTCAGTGCTGTTGAGCAAAGCTTGAATTCTAGTCAAAAATGTTTAGCGTTGTTTAGCATTGTTTAGCAAATTTTTAGTCGTTTTGCCACCAATTAAACATTTGCTGTGCTAGCGCAGGCGCCGTAGCTGTGGAAATCCTAAGGTTTTCGTCAGTTTGTCTGTCTCTACGTGAACCAAAATCTCTAGAATGCCTTCGTGAAACATTTGCATCATTTCGTTGTAGGCTACTGTGTTATTTTCAACAGTCAACTTTGTTATCGATGTGCTAAAAAGTCTTTTCTTTTCCCGTCGCTTCATCCAATTCTTATTTTTACCGACATGTACTTGAAGTGTTTATGCTAACATACAACAAAACAAACAGAAAGAAAATTCTTATGCAAGATCCCCTGCAACTCCACAGTGTCCTATAGCTACAGCTCGCAGTTCAAAAAAGTTGAGTGAACTTTAGCGAAAAGTTTAGTCACATTTTGCCAGCCTCGCTAAACTTCGCTCAACTTCACTAAACAAAAGTTAGTGAAATGTTTAATGAATGTATCCAAAATTTAGCCAAGAACCCCCCTTTCCATAGTTTGTGACTCATGAGTTCGGTTCGGACGCATCCCCGCGCATTTTACAAACCCAAAACCTTATGCCAAGTACTCACGAAAAACTTGCATAAACCTTTTTCGTTCCCAAAGTGACATCCAGCCCTAGTTTTTATGCACCGAAATTTTTGTTTTGTTTTGGCAATATTTCGAAACAAAAATGACCGATTATTTCAGTGAAAAAATCCTTTCTTAATGAAAAGTTTATTGGGCGGTAATGACAGACCGTTCCGCAAAATTTTGTGTAATACACCTCGAAAGGGCCGTTTTAAGCGATCCAGAGGGTGCAAATTTCAAAAATTTTCAACCTGCCCAAAACTATAACCGGTGATAGCCATCCATAATAAAGCTGTGAACTCGCAACAAAAATACTTACAAGGGCGGATGCTGTACTTTTTCTTCCCTGGGTGAAATCTGGTGGCGCTTTAAAGCCATCATAACTCTGAAAAACAAGCTGTTTTCAAAACTTTTGCTTCCTAGAAAGTAAAACATGAAAGCAAAAAAAAATTTCAAACTAGAGTATGAAGTGGGGATATCAACAAAGATAGAAACTTCGTGATTCTAGTCTAGATTTCAATCCAAGCAGGTCGGTTCCTTTGCAGCAAGTATAGAATTTTATTAAGTAGACAAATAACAAGCAGTCAAATGTAGTTTAAATCTCATAGAAAACATTTCTAAATAATTAAGCGAAATGGTAGATGGCCTAGTAACTCTAGTGAATTGTTAAGAATTTAAATTTTTGGACAATAGCAGGAAAAAGCAAGCACATACATTAAATTTTCAAACTAGCTCTAACCCACCCTAACTTCGAATAAGGGCCCATATAAAATATTTCTAGTGCAAATACCCCCCCTCCTTAAAAAGCCCCCCCCCCATAAGCTCCAATGGTAATTATTTGAGAATTTACGATAACACTGATACGCACTTTGTTTCCTCTTCTCGTGTTTTTTTTAAATTTTGCTATAGGGGAGGCTGAACTAAAATTATCATTAGAACACGATTACAATTAGCGAAAAGCTTACATTTTGAAGGATTCGTTTTGAAATCAAATCTTGTCGGGACGTTCTTTGGCAGCCTTTCGCTACAACGATAAATATTGCATACTACATAAATGACAATTATACGTCCTTAGACACATGCTCGCATTCGATCACGAACCTTTAATGACAAAGATCTATATAGTGATTAGTGGAAATATATCACCATGAACTGTTTTTAGCACACTTGCAGTCGATAATCAGTATCGTGCATTTTAATGACTTGGGCAAATATATAAGATATAAACATTCGTGAAGGACAGAAAAACGACATGGTTGCACAAGGCTGGGAAAAAATTTGATCCCTCCAAAACGAATTAAATATGAATTGACGGATGATGGTTAAAATTCACTAGGTCAGACTCCAAAAAGCGGATCAATTGAACCAACTTACATTTCCCGTTCTAACCGCATGGCATTCATTAGAATTTCAAATACAAATTGTAAGAAAACTACGGTAATGGTTCTGCACAATAGGTCTGGCTTTTTGTTGAGCCTTACTCAGCGCTTGGGAATTTTTTTAGGCCACAAAAGAGACAAAAGAACAGAAATATGAACGGCCCATTATAACTTGGTTTCTTTTCCAGTTTACCAGTATTCCAACAATAATAACTCCAGATTTTTACTTAGTTAGAAAAGGATGCGTGAAAATCTATATACCCTATTACCCCGCGTATAGGCGCACCTCATTTAAAGGCGCATGCGCTTATAAGTGAATCTTAATCTTAACGATTTTGCGAGAAAAATTAAAAAAAGGAGAAACAGCGATAAGGCTATCTATATTCCCTCTGACAACGTCCTAGATTACGTTTCTTGCATTACCAATTTCTGTAAATTGTCCTTTTAGAATCAACTGACATGATGAAGAAGACAACCTTCTGGAAGAACAGCTGAATGAAGAAGTAATGATTACCGAAAACGATTCAGATCCTAAAGAAGTTGACATTGAATAACTGTTAAAATAGCCAGTTTCTATTGTTAAAACATTACGCAAGCAATTTTATTGTTAAATACTTTTTATTTATAGGCGCATGCGCCTGTATCTGAATCGCTTTCTCGTACCCTAAATTGGCAAGATCGTAATTTCCATTGATGAGCGCATGCGCTTTAAAGCGAGGTAATTGGGTAGCTACAACACCTGGCAAAATAGTCTGAAACACCGTTCACACTTCAAAAGTATTGTCAAAAACAAATCATCACTTGTGAGAAAGTACTTGTGATGAAAAGCCATAGCTATCCGGCAGAAATAAATATGAAAACTTAAAAATTACGCACATCACTATAAATCTGGCAGTCAGTATTGTAACTGACTAGCAATCTGTTTAGATAGCTGGCTAATAAGAATTGTATCCCTTACATCACCATAATTAAAAACCCTACCTGCAAAAAATGACCAAACTTTGTCTGAGGCAGAAGCGAAATCTTTAGGTGTCCTAACAGACAAATGGAACGATATCTCAAGATCTCATCATCATGAAATTTGTAAAATATACGGTTACAAATAGACCATTGAATAATAAGAATTAAAACTGTATAACATTTTTATGAAAAGTGCTATCAGAAAACATCATCAGGCTAATTGCTTCTTAACATATGGACATAATTAAGGTCAATGTTATCAAATTTTCTTGACTCTCTGACACAAAATAAGAAATTGTATGGTCTCCCTCTCCCTTATAACAAATTGCTCCACTTCTTTTACTATTGAGCAATTAACAAATTCAGAATAAATTGAAAATAAACTTTTTGTAACGAATGCTTTAACTGACAAAGAGGTAAATAGGGAATTTTGGAGGCCTCATTGCGGACTTAAACGGTAATGGAAGCATCACTATATAATCAAAATGAAAATTAAAAAACAAATGCATAACGAGTCATAACAAATATTGCTAATTGATTGCACTTGGCAAAAAAGCAGAATGTTATTGCATGCATAAGTAGCTTTTCAAAGATAATCATTATAGTTAAAACAGCTTACAGCTATTATACGATGAATAGAAAAATATCCTCGTGTTTCCTATTTGAATTGTAATGTAAGTAAGAATGATGGTGACTAAAAATAGGCCCACTACTTTGGTTCTGGTCAACATGACCTACTTCTACTATACTTAATAAAGCACAGTTCTTTAAATTCCTAGCTCTTGCAATTCATAGGTTTACAGAACAGTCTTGGCAGCGCAAAAATATTACGGTGCCTTTCAGATGACGTTTTCACCGTTATGTTTAGCTCTGAGATCTACAAAGTAGTGAGAGGTCATTTCGAGCAACATTTTAACGACAATGGTGTTAGCATAAATCCATTCTAGGGTCAGCCAAGAAAAGTGAATAAAGAAATATCAATAGAAAAGGTTATAGCCGGTATTAATAAACTGAACAATAACAAAACCTCAGGGATTGATAATATATCTACCGAAATGGTAAAAAATGGCCCCTTGACCCTGTCCAAAGTCTTCAAAAATACCCTCAATGAAGCCTTTGAAAAAGAAATAGAACTAGAATGGGGCGACGGCATACTCGTTTTTTTACAGAAGCCTGGAAAAACCAAAGGCCCTGTCACCAACCTACGAACAGTAATATTACTCCCAATACTGAGAAAGATCTTGTCAAATATAGTTCTGCATCGCATTCAACCTAAAGTAGAACAATTCTTGACAAATTCACAAGCAGCATATCGACCGAGTCGCAGTACTTCAGATACAAATGAATTATTGCAAAGACACAAATGTCACAAATTAAAGTTTTCGTCACTGGCATAGATATGAGTAGCGCTTTTGATACAATCCGACGTGAACAGCTAATTGATACTGTAAAGAAGTTCCTCGACGAAGACGAAGTAAGAATTAATCCTCAAGAGTAAAGATGACGATTGTGATTCGCCCCCAACTACTGAAGCGGAGAAGAATACCATAACAGAAAAGACTGGAGAAATTCTACTTAGAGATAATTTGAAAGTATACAACAGCAAAACAGAGCAAACAGAAATTGTTCGAGGAGACAGAAACACAGACCGATTGAAGACAGTTAAAATGCTTGGCTTTCTGTTAGGTCATACAGAAGGTACACAAAGAAAAAACAGTTGTCGATAGCATCCATGGATAGATTAAATCACATCTGGATTAGAAAAGACCACATCAGCGAAAAACCTCGCCTCAAGCTTTATCGAACTATTGTAAAACCAGTTTTGATGTATAACAGCTCTATTTGGGGACTGACACAAAAAGATACAAAAGGTCTAGATGCTTTTCACGGACAGCAACTGAGACAGCTAATACAAAAAAGGATCCTAACAAGATTTCCAATGATAACTTGTACAAAAGATGCGAAGAAGGACCAATTTCAATTGACATCCTCAAGGGTAGATGGCGGCTGTTTGGTCACATATTACGTTTGTCCGGCGATACACCGGCTGTAAAGGCAATGAGATTTTACTTTGAGGGATCGGAGAGGGGATTCAGAGGCAGACCTAGAGAAACTCTCGTGACAACTTTAAACAAAGATACCGCCAGGGCGAGAGCAATGGAAAGGTCATTTCCACTACCGAATATTGAAAAAATGTTTGAGATAATTTCATATAATTTCCTTTCCCTGCTTACATTCATTGGAAAATAACGATAAGTGCGGTCCCACTGTTTCCATAGACTTTCAGACACAAATTAGGGTCCATGCTTGTTATATTTATTATGGATTGAATGTAGATTCTGCAAATGCCTGTTTAAATTAATGTCCACTTCTTTGTGATTGAAAGGGCCTCAAAACGATGACTTAATTGTTTTTTGGCTTTTACCTTCATAGAAAATTTTCCCAGTTTCCTGACTAAACAGTAGCGGAAAGCGTGATGGCTAAACAATGATCTAAGGAAAATAAAATTGTGCTGGGACGAGGCCCACCAAAAAAATATCATACCAAGCTTGAAGTAATGTCAATTTTTGCAACAAATCTACTTCAGTTTCTCTTGCTTAGAAAACTTAATACGTGACTCTTGCTAGCAATGCGAAATGAAAAGGGTACCTGGCTAAACTTTTTAACTGACTGGGAACAATAATTCAACGAAAAGATCGCTGGATTAAACAGTTTGCCAAGTGAGTGCCTCAAAATAGCTCATTTCCATTAAGTAAGGCGTTTGCAAAAAAATAAACCGGTAGGCAAACAACCACAAACGGAAGTTCAGAAAAAGATATTTTTCTAACCTGTCATAAAGATCTTCTGCATCTGGGTCAGCACCAGCATCCAATAAAAGCATGATCACCTAGAAATATAAAAAAATTAGAGTTGTAAATAACTACTGAGCCTTATTAATTCACTCTTGCTGTATCCTAAGCCATTGATCTCTTAAAGACTCATTGCTAACAATGAGCCATTGCGCTACGTAAGCATCCCACAATGCACTTTTAGACTGTCTAAAATCAATTTTGGTTAATCCGTAGAATATTACTGCCATTGTTTGGGCCGTCACCACAAAGGCCTATTGTTAGCAATGAGTCTTTAAGATTGCTATCAATAAACACCATTTATTCCTAAAAAATCGAGAGAAACCCGTCGAAAGTCTAAATGTCGTAGAAAAACGAAGGAGGGTTCTTTTTAGTGCACTCAACAATAATAGAAACTGTGCTTGTAACTTCTAAGCTTTTACCAATCAAGAAACTACAAAGTAAAAATAATAATTTTTGCAAATTTAAATTTGATTAAAACATGGAAAATTGTCTAATTCTATGGAATAGAAGAATGATTTGTTGCTTAGCCCCTTAAAGTTGGGAAATCAACAGAAAATTGGTGGAAACCTTTGTTGGTCTTGTAAAAAACCGTTTCAAACGCCAACAAATGTTGAATTGCAGCTATAGGGAATTGGTTTAACTATCAAAAAATTAACATGTAAGGGCGTAGTGGAATAGCTTCTACAATTCACGAAAAGTTGTACTAAAATTTGGTTGGCACATTGGATTACTGCATATGATAAACAAATGTAAAGATGTATTCTCTCGTATCTCACACTACAATCCAAAAACCTTGGATATTGACAGAAATATGAATGATTTTGCACCATTTGCAATATATACATGTAAACCACGCATTGTAAATTGTATTACCTTCCCATGTTCCTGGAAGGATGCTGCATGTAGAGGGGTCCATTTGGTTTGTTCATTTCGAAAATTTGGATCTTTGAAAAAAAAAAGAAAATATCAATTGATTCGAAGTTAGTTCTAAATCAAACATCACTACAGAAAATCATCTATCAGCCTTTTTTGCGGCCGGATCTACTTTAACGCCGGCCTTTTTACGCCGGCCCTTTTACGCCGGCCCTTTTACGCCGGCCCTTTTACGCCGACCCTTTATACGACGGCTCTTTTACGTCCGCCCTATCAACGCCAGGCCTACTGCCCTTTTTGGCAGAATTTTACGCCGATCAAAAGGTAAGAAAATGTTAAGAAAATTATTAACGGTGTTATCTGGCATTTTTTGAAATTTTCTTATCAATTTCAACCACTACATCGTCTTCATAACTTTACGATTCTTCTCTTAGTTTCATCGCAATCTCTGCTATCAGTTTGCTTTCAATTACTACACTTTGAGATGAGATGCAGTTCAAACCTTTTAAATGAGATGATTTTAACTGGCAAATGATGATTATCGATACAGAAAATAAGATTAGAGGAATAAATTCTAAAAGGAAGGAAGTCGAGCGATGGATACTGTAATTGTTTACTGTTTTGGTGCATGATATAAAAGATATTCAAGATAGGTAAGCTTGGGTCTTGAATTAATATTTCCTTTCTAAAGACCTTTAAAAATTTCTGGTACTTGCAAAAACAGGGGTTTCAAAAACAGAACCGTTTTTTGGAGGTAACGTGTAAAACTTTAGCCCTTAAATTGTCTGCTTTTATCGTGCCAGCTCCAGTAATACTTAGCGATTAGCGCCCGAGAAGGCAACATTTTTGCACTCTTAATGAGAGGACAATTTAAACGCTAAATAATGACCTAACATTTTCCCTGCTACTATAAACCTAAGCATTTACTAAATGACAATATCATGGTTCATTTGACAAACCCCAACCAAACTTGCTTTTTCTTAATTAAATGGCCAACTGGATTACATCGTGCTTGAGTATGGTGGTGGCAAAAGTACAAAATGATTTTTGAGATAATTTGCAAGTATGTTTAAATACTGAGCACCCAAAATGTATACTTTTGTCAAAATTTTTATCTAATATGACCTCATGAGCCCGTTTATTTTGCCTGCGAACGCCAGTATGCCAGGGCGAAACATTAGCTGTCTGTTATTCATTTTCGCTTGCTGTTATTGTTTCTTGGAGCATTGCGGTGTTTCTTACTTTCAACATATACATAATGCTATTACAGCCCTTGCAATGATTGTGGAAAAAGAAAGAACATGCTGATTTGGCTACTATTGCATGGAGCACTAAGAATTTTCCTTAGTCCATCCTTAATAAATTGTGGAGGCCGCTTTGATCTTTCAGTTGAGGCTCTGCTGGAGGAAATGATGAGCACTACATGGGTCCTGTCTATTTATATTCATTGGTGGTTCACAAATATGGATTTTTTACTCATCAATGACGGTGGTCTGTTTTTCTTTAAATCTATCTATGAATAGAATTCTGAAGCTAGAGGGTGATTATAGAGATATTTGAGCGGGTGAGACAGCATGGTAAAGTGTCAGCCAAAAATAGAAAATGCTGTTAAAGCTAGAAGTAGCATTCTCAAAATTGGACACATCAAACCTGCTCCACTTTGTAACAGCTCCTTGATTACATCATGAAGTCCCCAGAATGAGGCTAAAAGATACAATGAAAAAGTTTATTTAGAAAAAGGTAACAATAGCTTCGGGCTAGGAAGCCGTGCATCTAAAAAGTTCCCAGATTAAAACCTAAAAAACTAGTTTTCAGAAACATATATTCATAAAAAAAGTATGTAAGGGATCTTGTAACAGGACCAAAACATACATGTGACCCTCTGGCTTTCGCTTTAATTAAGAATGGCTCAACTGAAAGTAACAAGAAGTAAAGTTAAATGCTAATTGATTGAGTTAATGGTTGAAACCTGAAATACCATATTCTCTCTTGCATTCCCACTGCAGGTTTATTGATTCAACCTCCTAACTTAATGCAGGATATTTAAAGGTGGGATTATCAGAGAGATGGGATTAAATTTTCCATTGTACTTTTAAAAAGAAGGCCTACATTTTCAACATGTTCTCCTGTGTTTCGGCAAGGAAACATTGTTCACCTGCTGAATGTCTACAAATGATTCACAACTCCAAGCATATCGAACTGAATAATAAGTATAGAAAAAAGACTCTGAATTATTAGCTAGGTGGGGACAGAAGAGAGGGCAGGAATACAAGAGAAGATATGGTATATAAGTATAGCCATCCACCAAAACGAAGGGATCTGGAGACAGCTTTAAATGTTGCTATTTGGAGATTTTCATTATCTATTTTCAACGAATAAATGCTAATATATATGAAAAAACTAACTAAAAGTATAATTTCTTATTTCAAATGCCTTTTTAGAGTCCTTTATACTTCTTACCAATATAGAGTTGACTCTGTGTTGTCTCATTTGCTTTGCTTCCAAGATTTATGTTCTCAGTCAGAAATTGCTCTACAAGCTGCAAGAAAGCATGAAGATAATTTTCCAATAGATTAAAGCTACTTTTATTTTACTCTAAAAGCTGTTCATACTTTACTGACATAAACACTTAGAGAGCAAAAGTACTGCACAGGCAGCAGCACTGTAGCACCGAACCAAATTCAAATGGCAACAGAAAGTTTCATAAAAGTTATGACGTTTTAACTGGAATATGTTGGAAAATTTATCAAGATTTGATGCTGAAAATAGCAAATGTAAGAACATCTTCATTTTTGTCCATTTCTAAACAATATCCACATTTGCAAAAACATGAAAATTGAGAAATGGCGATTAAAGTACCTGTGAAACATGTACAATCAAAAAGTTTATCTTTGCACCAATTTGCGATATCTTATAAAAATTAACTCGGAATAACAGAGACATGGAAACCGGGCCTAATGGAAAAGAAGTAAAGAGTTAAAATGCCTCCGGGAATGCCATCAATATAACCCACACAAAATAAATTTTAAGAAACAAAAGAGAAAAAGAATAGTAATTCAAAACGTGGAACTGCGCGTGCCATAGAAAGTACGCCTCGGGAGTTCTAGGAGTGTGTGGAGGCGTGCGTGTGCAATCGCATGCCTAATATTACCAGGACTGAATAAAATGTGCCACCAATTGTCAAGCCCATCTTTTCGGACCAATTGCAATGTTTGCAAGGGAACAAATAATAATCTAAATTGCTTGAAACAACTTTTCGTCTTCTCAGTGAATAAAAAGACCAAAATTCCCACAATAAACAGGTACACTCAAGGGCCTCAATAGCTGCAAAAGAGTCAACATAACAAAATGGCATAAAACATGCCACTTTCCACCAAATACAGAGCCAATAATGTCCAACTTAGCACTCCAACAACTAAATGTGATCTTGCAATGTTTTTCTGAACCTATAATGTAGCGATTAACAGAACCTGTTACTAAACTTTTTAATAAGGTTTTAGCAAGTCTCATAAGGGTTTCAAAGCTGCGAGACTGCCCAATACAAAGTTAATTTTTCTCACTTTTAAAGAAGTAACTTTTTTCAATTTTGATGGTTTGATGTTTGGTTTGAGTGGTTTTTAACTATAAAAAGGTGACACCTGATGGTTTCACAAAAATGGTTTGAATCTTGATAACCATGTTGTCTTCAACGCATTCGCCATTACTGATTTGTCAAACCTGTGCAATACTTTTGCTCACTAAGTGTAGATAAACCCATCTTTATACACATTATCAGTGGGTAAAGGTATGAAATGTGTAATGCCCTACAGCAGAAGGCTATTTATTACTTGTAGGCAGGTAAACAGAATTTAATTAATTCCAATTGTTAAATAATAATTGAATATACCAATTCGACTTATGGCCTCATTTTGAAAAATTCTTCTAATTTTTTTGTACAAAATTTTTGACCTCAGATTCAGATTGAGAGCAATGATTTTAATCTACTTGGAAATTTTCATTATGGTATTTCTCACGAATTTGATTTTATAACAACATAAAGATGAAAATTTTATAAGGGATTTGACCGTGATTGGCAACTAGGGGGGTAAAGCCCCCCCCCCACAAAACGATTTTGGCAGTCAAACCCTTACAAGTTTTCAAACTTCATTTCTCCGGAAAATCTAAAGTATAGGCTCAAACAAAATGAAAAATTGTACTCAGCCTAAAATTATGGCAATAAAACCATATCTGAGCCTAAAAAAGTCGGACGTATAATTAAGTTTGGAGAAATTTTTAAAACAGGGTCGCAAGTCGAATTGGTGTATGATATCTTATTACCTAATTACATTAATTCATTCATTCTTGAAGCAATATTTTCTAATTCAACATAGGAGATGCAGCAAGTGCTTGATTCATTTACATCACTCACTAATCTGTTTGACTGAAACATTAAAATTATTTCCATATTATCTAAAGACTGTCTGTTCATATTTTGAGGTAACATACATCTACATAATTATAGGTATGATAGTGATAGCATTGACATACTGTGAAAATAACAAACAAAGATGACTGACAGCTAACATTCAATTTTAGTTTGACCAAATACACTAGGTGAGCAAAAGTATTGCACCACTTTGACTGATGAAAAATCGCACCAGCCTTGTGAACAACTTGCCCTTCAAAATTCAAATCACTGTTCTAAAGCCATTAGGCATTATTTAATGATTAAAACTCAATCACACAAAACTTCAAACCATTGGCAACACTTTTTCCTTTATCAACAAAATGTCTTTTTAAAATATCAAAAAAGTAAATTTTTTATTGCACAGTCTTGAAGCTTTGGAAACCTTGTAAGACTTGCTAAATTAAATCAAAAATATTTAGAATTGATAATTGGTTACTATTTATTGCCACATGATAGATTTAAGTCAACTTTGGCATGGTCAGATTTACTGTTTGAGATCCCAGAAGATCATTATTGGCCTTGAATTTAGCAAAAAGTGACACTTTTAAAGCCATTTCAGGCACTTGCATGTCACTGTTTACGACTGTTTATCACAGAAATTTTTTTATTTTCATTCAACGAGGAGATAAAAGCTGTTTTGAGCAATACAGTTCTTAAGTGTGACCTCATAAAAAACTATTTTTAGAATTTTTGAAATAGACCACATAGCATAAAATAACACTATATGAAATACTTCCATACATGCAAATCAGTTAAATTTGTCAAAAATCGGGTGAGCTATGGGCAATAGAAAATATAGATTTTGCTAATAGATTACTGTTATTTTGGCTCAGTTCATAAAGTTAGTTCATAAAGTTATGAAATGAGACCAAATTACAGACATTTGATAGGGTCAGAGCTTGTGCTCATCTGGTCATATCTCAGCCAATTTGTAATATCTTGAACTGATTTTGCAGATGCTTTTTCAGGTTATGGGAACAAATTTTAAAAATTCTAAAAATATATTTTTGTGACGTCATCACTTGACAACTTAATTTACAGTATTATTTGTTCCTTGAACAAAATCGCAATTGGCTGGAAAGATATAATTTAAGGCTACTGGCATGCTCTATCAATTGAATTCTGTTGCAACATGTTACAAAATGGTGTCCGATATTAGGCTATTTTCAGTTAGTGAGTAGGAACCATGCGACCAAGACTTTTCACAAATACTTTAAAAGCACTCATAAAATTAACAGCTTCAGGCACCCAAGCAGAAAGTAAGTATTAATGAGTTCGCCTTACTGAAATCTTACAGGTTTGTGCAAGAAAAAACAGTTTTCATTGCAAATAAAGTGCAGGTACGCTGATCATAATTGCTCAGTTTTCGTATTTCCCAGTGGTTTATGTACCTCAAAAATAAGAAGAAACAAAAAATATTTTGCCTTGTTCAGTTTCATTACTATACCTTGATAATTTTTCCATTATTTTCCACCCTAACAGTCATCTAAGAAATTTTATTTAACTTGCTATATAGCCAGTTAAATAATAGAATACAAACCTCATCGTCGCCTTTTTGCGCTAAAGTTGACAAAGTTGGCTTTTTTAGATCCATCGACTGTAATTTGTCTTGAATGTTTGTCATAACTGCAGTATTCTTTGACTCCATATTCAAGTATTTGGTAAAAGTTAGTTCATGTGTGTCGCCATTTTTAATGCCAGAAGATGTGTTTCAGTGTTGTTGTCGTTGCCACCATGGAGACCACTAATCAAAAAAAGTTTTGCAAGCTCTCCTGTTCGCAAACTTAAAGGGCCACTCCAGCCCAAAATTTTTATTTCCGAATACGATGAAATCAGACCTCCTGAAAACGAATCTGTTATTATTTTTTTCATATCTTCAGCCGTTTTGTAGTTATTAGCGTTTGTAAATTGGTCATTGAGTTGAATTGTTTTTCAACCGTGTTATCGGAGATCTTCGGATTGACGTCACAGGCATTTTCGGCCTCTGCATTTTTGCGGCAAGTACCATCGGCTGTCCAAAGGATCAACGAGAATGTTGCGAAATGGCAAACAGGGCCTAGCAGCGGTATGTTTGTTAGAAGGCCAGACTTTTATCTATATAAAGAGACAAGTATCGTCGGTCAGTCTTGATTTTCAGATCGAATATGGAAGTATTATATCGCACGAATCTGCCTGACAGAGCAGTCAAATTGTCAAAGTAGGCCAGCGAGACAGAGACATGAGGATGTTCAAGGTCTGGATAATGGAACGTTGCTTTTGATGCAGTCTGTTTTGGCAGGCCAGTTTTCTGATTCGCGCTTTTTCATCAGCTCTACATTCAGTGCAATAACCAAAAAAAGCCATCACGCAATTTATTCGGAAAGACCTAAACAAAACCAGTATACCAGATTGATACTATAGATTCAGCAGGATAAAGAGCTTCATATCAACATGAATTATTGAGAAAAAAACAGGACAATCAAGGACATGGACATGGAAGTATACAAACTTTCAAGACAGGACTAAAGACCTACCATTAGTCATGAGTCAAACAACTTTTTTCAAAAATTATACATTTGTTCTTATATCTATAGACAAAAAAGTGATTTGAGATTATATTAACATTTCATCTTTTTCAATATACTTGTGTAAAAATAATTTTTGTATTGAATCTTCAAGCTATTGCAGTGGCCTTGTCAGGTCCTTTAAGCTGTCAGAATTTTAACCTGCTATATATCAATGAATAATGAATACATGTTTGTATTTAAATACTTAGCTACATTGAATAATATATTATAAATATATATACAGTCAGGCCAGTGAACTAGCTAGCAAATTTGTAATTTAAATTGCACATGAGAAATGTTCTTATAAAAGTATGCTGAAACAATAATCTATTGCAAAATTTATAGAAAATACCTATATGCTGTTACTAGTTTGAAATAATAGCTGTGGATTTGCAAACTTTATATAGAAATGACCAAATTATCTATAAAATTTTGATAAGTTCAAAAATAGTCTGCTTTGTAAAAGTTTTAATACAAAAACAGAACAATGTGTCAAGGTCTTTGTGGTAACTCTTGCAAGGAAAAAGGGGTGAGTTATCACTCCCCCAAAGCCAGTAGCCAGATAACAGGATACATGTAATCTCCAACCTTCATCTAGCATTTTTGGCAAGATCCTTTCTATTGATCCATAAAAGTGTTTGTTACCTTTTTGTATGCCTAGAAAAACAATGTTGACAGGGATAAATAATAACCTACCAGTGAAATTTATTTTAGAGTCACTTTATCACATAAAATGATCAAAGAAATCATAACCTTGGACACTCAGGGGCAAAGAGAAATTTGGGGATGAAAGGGTAACCACTGTTGCTATAGCAAATAACATCTAAGGATATATTTAGGTAACACAAAGATAAATTTAAATGATATAGGCCATGCTTATATGAATCAATGCTAGAATAGCAAAGGTGTATTTAATATAAACAATTCTGCCTTTAAAACATTAGAATGAGGATATGACACATCTGTTTTCAAAACCAAGGGTTTAAATTCCATGTTTTCTCTTTGGGGTAGTAGATCTTTTGCCCTGGATATTGATCTGGCAAAATTTTGAAATTGTGCATCAGTTTTATGATGAAATAGGCAGAACTCCAAAATTGAAGACGAAACATGGTAGAACATGAAAACTAAGGGTTGAGGAGAGAAACCCTCAAAAATTTTACACATCTGTACCTCGGGCAAGGGTGTACTGCACAGATCATTGGCAAGGATGTAGTGCTAGGAGGCTCAGGCCCCCTTGTTGGTACAAAAAGTAGCAAACTTCTACTTTCAGTACTATTTTATGACATTTTGCTTGAGAGCCCCTGTTGTACTTTTCTTCTTAGTACCACACCTGACACCTCTAACCATTTGGTGGACAGTTCATGAGACTGACTGTTAGAAATCTTACATTTAGAAGATAAAATTTTTCTCAAAGCCTGGGAAATTGCATTGCTTAGGGGGTGTGTGTCACACCTTCCCCAAACCCCCTCCAAACCATGGTAAAATGATAACAGGCACCATGGAGCATTGAGAAAAGTGGGGGTCTAACAAAGTGGGGGGAGACTAAAACCATATAAAAAGAGGCTTTACTGGTAGTTTATTACCTAATATTTAGCATTTCTGCAAAAAGTGGGGAGCTAAAGCCCCCCTCCCCAGCCCCCGTCCCTGCTCCGCGGTGCCTGAATTAGGATGGATTGTGACTTACGGGAAAGCTTCCATCTTGTGAATGGGATTCTTCTTCTAATGCGGTAAGACATGAATTATTATTCACCTCCCTGGAAATCCCTGAGATGAGACGACGATAAGAAATGCCTTCGGTCAGAAACCCATTCACATCTGAAAATTCGTGAAGCATTCCATGTTGAAAAGCTTGCTGCGTTGCCAAGATGAGGATTTGCATTCAGGTTGAAGTTTCCATCTTTAATTTATCGAATTACTATT